ACCTGATTTGAACATCAATTACAGACGGACATCGGGTTACGAATACAATACAACATAATCAAACATTTATTAACCTAACGCGATCCGCACGCGGCGTGCACGTGCATCATTTACGACCCGTTTCATTCTAAACGCAGAACTATCCTCGCTGCTGTTTATTTCCTGCAAACAAAACAAAATACAATCAACAAAATCATTCATTGTTTAATAACATTTAGGTAATCCAAATAATAGTATTAGGTCCAATGATCATTACACCAAAAAATTAAATATAGTTTTAGTGTCTTTACTATTTATTCATTTCTTAACGCATTCACTGCCGTCAATGCATATTATGCGTTCAACCAACTCCGGTGTCTTGGACGTTACTTTGCATTCACATGTTTTAAAAACTTAAAGTTCATATAAAGCTGCTATGTTCCGCTTGCATCCTTTTGATTGTGCAGGATATTTATAACTAAAAATATTATATTCAAACCTTAAATCCAAATTAAAAGGTTGGAAATTTCTTAAACTCTGTCTGTGAAAACTCGCATAGAGCTGGTTATCGATCACCTTGTGAACTTTGTTCCTTTTTTCAGTAACAGATTAAATTTAGTTTGTTTCTTTTGTTAACCAAATAAGACACATATAAAACAAATTTCCAGGTTTGTGGGTGCTTTTGTTTTAAATAATAGTGTAATCCCTCTTCTTAGTACATTATAGTATATAGGCATGTCAATGTATATAGGTTATGTTTTGTTAGTTCAATATGTGGTCAAATAAAGAAAAGTAATGTCAAATTAGTATGAATTCGTATATCCATTGAAGGCACTGAGTGAGTCGTGCGTTTGCGGCACTGGCGAAGTCGACGAAAGTACGAAAAACAATGTCGGTAGTGAGTGCCTTAAGAAAATTACCAGTTTACAGTAGAAACCAAATTACTATGAGTACACAAAAGGTGTCCCTTATACGATGTAACGCTAATGATAGTGCCAAAAATAAAATTAGTCAAGAACCAAACATAAACTTGTCCTTATACGTACTTAGCTTTCTTAGCACTGCGGTTGTGTTCCCGGCTGTCATCTCTTGAGCGCTTGTGCGACTTGTGGTCGGAGTTCTTCTTGTCGTCCTTCTTGTGGCTGCCGTTGGTCTTCGAAGACTTGTCGCGGTCGTGATGAGATTTGTGATGTTTGTCGCGGTTCTTTGACGGGCTAGGATTTGGAAAGAATTCAAGTTACATATACATACATTTATATTTATAACAATATATTTATATTAACTTCAAAATCCTTCATGGAATGTAATACTTTAAGATTGACAATCTAATAGGCGCTGCTAATCTTCTCCTGGCTTCATCACTTTTGATACAATGAACAGTTCCACATAGAATAAATCTGTTATAGGGCCAAATGAACATTTACCTGTCTATTCAAGGGCATACTAATGTCTGTTAGCACACATCAAGCATAATGCTGAAGCACGCTGATTGTACTCAATACGGATTGGATTCAATTGGAATAATGGATTCGAACCCTGATTAAACTATATTTTTTATTAATTCCAAAAAAACCTCACCTGCTGCTACTATGCTTAGAAGGACTCTTATGGCTGGAACTCTTATGGTTAGAGCTGGAGCCCTTATGGTTAGAGCTGGAGCTTTTATGTTTATCGTGTTTTCCCTTCTTGCTCCGGCTTTCGTCGGCGTCGTAGGACCTCGGACGGTCGCGTCCGCCCTTGCGTTTTCGGTCAAAGTCTTCGAAACCTACTCCGCGCTCCTTTTTGTCCTCTTCGGCTGCTTCACGTTCGAGATCGGACCAATCTTTGCCGGATTCTTCGTCTTCCTCTGTTAAACGTTACATTAATTGTGGCTACCTCTAACCATTGTCATTCAAATTACAAGTACATATACCCTACTTGGACTGGGATTAGATTCGGCTAAAAATAAAAAATCTCGTACATTTTTTATGCATCACAAATGATACAGGGATGAGCCAGTAGAGCTGCTTTCATATTGACCAGAAAGAATTTTCTTTAAGAAAAACCATTTTATAGGATTAAAATTAAGTTACCATCACTGTCACCGGACCCGTCCGAGGCGTCGGAAGCTTCCGAATCGTATTCAGAATCGTCTTCAGACTCCTCTTCCGATTCGGCATCGGTTGGCTCGTACGCGTCGTCCTCTTCCTCCGACTCTTCGTCCTGAGCAAATCACATAAAGATTGAAATGGATTCAAGTCGTATTCTGCAATGTTCAACTCTATATTTTAAAACAATCGATAATTAAGTTGTATTTTATTCAAAAGGATACCCGTGCAACAGGTAACCCCGCATATATTGACCAAAAAATGGCAATACTGTTCAAAATTCGACAGACAAATTATTACAAACAACGACTTAAATGGCAATACTAAAGCCGGAAACACTAAAGAAGGATGGCGAAATCTGACCCAATAATTATAAAATCAACGAAAAGCCGTGAAGTTTGCTAGTATAATTTTACGTTTTTAGTTTATGCCTAGTTATCAATACATTTTTAGATCTCGGGAATAAAGAAATTGTAAAACAATGTATTTTAGAATAAATTCAAGAACAACGCAATTGATTCAGTTCGACCATAGATTAGGTAATAACGCTCTTATACGTACGTTTCATTTTATGCATGATTGAATGTTTACCTAGCTAAAGTATTGGTGATTTTATAGTACACACATAAAACATTAAAACTATAAAATACCTCAAATAATCAATTAAACAGTAATGACACAAAGTAAAAAATAAAACACAACATGACAAAATGTTTAGACATTAAATGAGAGATGAGAAAGTTAGCAAAGGAACGTTTTGACAAGAGGCCTCGTGCCAATGTCACATTAAGGTTGAAAACAGTGTGACCATTTGTGGCAAATTTCTGCCATTTGGGCAGATTTAATTTTGATTCATTTTCATTGCGGCAGAACACGTCAACATTGTATTACATATGGCAGAGTTTGGCAGATTTGGGAATATTCAGCAAGTTCTTTATTATTTTTGGGAACCAAATGAAAACTTGTTTTCTGCTACTGCTACTTGAAACATCTGAAGCGAAATACAGGACAATGTAATAAACATAACCTATATCAACTTTATCACCCCAGCTTCTAAAGGCTGTACTCAATTAGCCTTTTTAATGCTTTGATAATGAATCACGAGTATTGATAGGTATTTTTAATGTACGTCGTCAAAAACACTGGGTCACAAAATTCACAGGATGTTGCCATCCTTCTTTGAATGCAGCCAGGCAGTCATTCACCTTCTGCAGTTTTCCTGTTGCATTGAGTATCTTTTTAAAACGTGTGTAGTTGTTAATTATTGGTTATTTGTGAAACTAGGTTACTGAGCTATACCTAAAACTGTATACTCGTCTTCTTGCATAGAAGGAAAACATTTTGTTCAACAAGGCTAACATATCAGAGTCACTAACTCATATGAGGCGTCACTAATCTACAGTTATGTGACAGTTTCATTGACGGTAACTTTTGCCATATTATTTATTTTTTTATTTATTTATTTTTATTATGACAGATAAGGTTGAGAATATTGAGTCAAATATATCTTACAGCTTCAGCGTTCTCAACATCAGATTCAGGGTCCAGGAAGGACCACCCGCCGTTGTCGAAGAAGCCTTCGATATCATCTGTGATGGTCTTCATCACCTTCGTCCAGTTCAAAGACTGGATACCTTCAGAGTAGCGGATGTCGCATGAGCTGTAAAAGATTTCCACTTAAAAGCAAAACCACAATAAGAGTGGTCATATCACACATTTATTATTTGTGTAATCATTTTATCGTATCTCAACTGGTGATGAATTTAAACAAGAAAAATAATGTTAACATTAAACTTCGCTATGTTAATTATGTCCGACTCAAGTTGTTTTCTCTACGTGTTGTGGCGCGTTTACACTAGGTCGACAGATCGTCATCGATTGCCAGGTGAAGGCGGCAGCCTACCCAGTGTAAACACTTGACTATTGTCTGACGGCCGTAGTTTTTTACCAAAGTCGACGGAGTCGACTAGGTGTTATGGTCCATTTACACGGGGCCAATTGACGAGCCATTCCACAAAGCCAATCTAGTGAAAAGTGCGAAATTTGAAATGTCCATCTACACTACAGTCCGTATTACTATAAGTGTATTTTCCATTCAATGCACCTGTGGTGGGGGAATGTATTGTGGCCCGAAAAATTAGAAATTGTTCCAATTCAGTGGATTATGTTTATCACTGGTCTAATAGAATGGCTCATCGATTGGCCCCGTGCAAGCGGTCCTTAATCATAGTCGGGTGACTCAGTCGCCTTCTGCAAACTGTTTTCGGCCAAACAAGTTTCAACCTGTCGGCGACAGCGTCTCTCTATATTGCACGTGCTTTGGGCCGGGGAATACCTTCCTACCCGATCAAGTTGTTGTGTCTCTCTCAGTCAGTCTGTGCGTAAACTTGTATATAACGCGATTTCGATGAAGGCAGCATTAACTCAGTATAAACAGCGAGTCGACTGCGCCTCCTTTGACAAGATGCAGTAATCTGCCGAAGGCAGCAGACCCTGCGTTCACACGCCATTAAGGAACAAGCATTCTGCCACTGGCGTATGAAACAAATACTTACTTAAGCCATTCCTTAACATGATCCAGCATGTTCATAGGCACTGCGTTAACCATAGCGACTTTCTTAGCATAATCCTTAAACACAAACACCATGTCGAAATTCTTCAGATGGAATTGAACTCGTTCGAAGTGCACCAATTCAACGTCTTCTAGAGCGATAACGAATGGGGGCCATTCAGTCAGATTGACCAAAGCACCTGATGTGGGCTGGAGAAGAACTGTGCTACGATATGGAGCTCCTGGGAAACCGAGTTCTCTGGAAAGACACAAGTCGTTTAATAATCGAAAAGACATGTATCAGACAAATAACAAAAATGTAATAATCAAATATATGTATAATATTTCGCGATTATTTGGGCCGATGAATCGTATCACTTGAACGGCTCATCTACTGTGGATCATTCCTGCCTCCAACTGCCTCCGCGACCGAACGATTACCATGCCAGACTGCCACGCAGAGGTCCCAGGTTCGATTCCCGGGCCGGGAGAAATATTTGTATGACCTACATTTATTTCTCTCGTGAGGTTGGGTGTAATTTGTGGTTGTCTAAGTGTGTGTCTATGGCACCCGCGACACAGGGTTTTCCCTAGTGCGGGGCTATGTTGAGTGTGTACGTTTTTATTATTATTATCATTAGGATATTAAAAATATACATGCCGTTTTTACAAATAACAAAACTTATTTGACACGTTTTCAAAGGTGCCTACGGATTTGTTCGATTTTTTTGAGGATCGACACATCATCAGGCAAAATTTGACGTAGGTAGTTAATCAAAAAGGATCCAATCCACAAAATTATCAAAAAATGGGTTATATGTACCCAGCGGTTTCTAAAGTCTAACCTCTTAGATCAGCAAAGAAAAATCCGACATATAAACATAAATAAATATCTCTGGAGTTACATGACTTTGTAAGTTTTGAAAATAAAACAAGAGTGATAACACTTTTAAATTTCAAACTGCCATATCTCGAAAGTGAGTGGATGTGGATTGGATCCTTTTTGTTCAACTACGTCCAATTGTTGACGTTCTGTTTTTTTCGATTTTGTTCGATTTTTATAATTCTCTGTCGCTAATAATAATAAGTGATAGTAACGATCGTCAAAGATCAACCAATCTGTAGACACCTTAATTGGAGTAGATGTTCCACATTATGTACAGTACTTACAACTTTGTTTATTTTTCAATACTATTTACAGTTAATTTGTAATCTTCCTGTAAATGAGTATGTTTTTATTTCAATCCAAACCAAACAATAATCTTGCATACTTATAAACACCAATACTAGCTGTGTATAGTGTATGTATGACACATGGCTCACCGACTTGACCAAATCTTTTGCTTTATTCTTCTCCAAAGATAATATATATGCCAATGAGATAATTAATTATTACCATTGGTAGACAATCTTGTACGAGTGTAAGGCTTTTGTCTGGTGATGAGGGAATTCACAAGAGAAAAAACTATTTGAGAAAGTGACTATAGCATCGTATCATGACAAGCCTGTATAGAAAAGTGACTTCGATTAATGTGATGACCATATCATCACAATTTATCTCTCTTTCCTCCTCTCTCTTTTTCATTTTATTTCTGTCTTTCTCTCTTTCTCTCTGTTTGTTACGTCGTGCCGAGGTTGAGATAAAATTATTGCACGAACACCGAAGCGAGTCGGTGGTCATTCTATACGGGGTTCTACAACATACCTGAAAGGCGTATCAAATTCCACTTCTTGTTTGGTCATATTCTCGACACGTTCGCAGAAGCTCTTGAAGGCGACCTTCAGCTTATGCCGCAGTTCTCTCTCACTCTGCTCCGCCGCTAAGTCGTCACGGTCGTGCATGTGTTGATGCTTGCCCAAGTCAGTCGTGATCTCTCCTACTTCTGTGTAGAACTGAACATCCACGTGTTTCTTTTTGCCTGGATAAATATTTTATGTATTGTATATTTCATAGTAAATAACATACATTCGAAATCGTCATATTGATTAACCTTTACTACTCATTCGTAAGACAGGATTCCCGAGAAGAATAAGTGAGAAACTCTAGGGGTTACTCTTTGTAAATAGACATTTCGTCGCCTTACTTTCTCAAACTCGTATCTAAAAGCACAAAGTTACTGAAATGCAAAAAAAAATGGATTGTATATACAAATTTTGCAGCCTGACTCCACATCACACTTCCTTCATATTTACTCACTAGCTTTATTCTTAAAGTAATGTATCCAAATCAACAACCTTGATAAGAAATTTAAAACAATAGAAAATTTTGCCATCTCCCGAATAAACACTTTTTATTAGATACGAGTTTCGAGAAAGTAAGGCATCGATTTGTACACCTTTATCACTTATAATATTTATTTCAAATATCACAGATCGAAACAACCTGCAACAGTTCACCAAGGGTTTTTGTCATTCAAGTACGCCATAGAGCTCCTTGTGAAAGGGTTCGTCCAGGGAAGTACTGCCACCTTACCTATTTCTGCCGCCAAGCAGTTATGTCAGCTACTGTGTTCCGGTTTTGAAGAGTAAGGGTACTGGCGAAATTACTGGCACATGGTTTTTGTCAACGTGTCTCAGGGTGACTGGCGCAGTGGCAGTGCCCCACAGATCTTTGCTTTTTAAAGATCTGGATGGCACTGCAACTGTTATGGACAGGCGTGTAACTTACCATCAGGCGCACGACTTGTTCGTCCCCGTCACTTGATATTATAAAAAAAACGCAGAAGTTATATAAAAGTTAATAGAAACGTGGACAGAGGTAGATCTCGACGTATATCTCGATCAGGTGGGAATGTTCTAAAAATAGCCAGGTTAAAAGTACTAAGAATAAGTGCGCATGTATAGAGACTGATGCAAGTGAAGTAGGCAAAATAGTCTTGTCAAGAACGTAGCGAATGAGGTACCACCTCTGCCTAAAGGGGCCCATTCATTCACTTGCCTTGCAGTCCGCCTGCATTACGCCGGCGGACGGCAAGCCAGGATAATTAATGGGAATTTTAACCCATGAGTTGATGGTAAGTATGTTAATAAATATCTATATACACGCATTTACGGCCACATGAACGTACATGAACAGGTGTTCCTAAATTATGCATCCATAACGAGGCAAATATTTAATAAAACCGTTTCCTAGTTCTAATAATTGAGTCATGATTTATTTATTTATGAAAGATTAAAAACATCACATAGCATACATCATCAACTTAAAAACCATTTTGTACGAGCAATATATAATGTCATTGTCTAGATATCACTGAAGCTTAAAAATATAGTGTGATGTGACATAACGAGTTGATAATTTGATACATGTATTACAGCATCATATCAGTGGTAAACAGTAAGGATGAATCATGATGTTGTCTACACAAAGCCTTTCCTGTTAAGATCATGCTTGTAGAGCACAGAGTACAAAATAGGGGATCTACACAACACTCCACCTAAATTTACTAAGAAAAAACAACTTACCAAACATGATAGCATGTTTCAAATGGAAATGTAACAGTATAATCATTTCTCCATCACAAGGCTGGAAGAACGCGTTCTTTATATTGTTGTACAGTATATCCACTTTGTCACCTCTTACAGAAGTGAATCTGAATCCATTTGTATGAGATTCTAACGACCCACTCATTCTCTTTGTGACGATATTAGGTCTTATGTAAAGATCTTTCAGTTTCGGGTTGCCTTTGCTCTGTGAGAGGACTAGAGTATCTTGCTTGACTAAATCCTCTTTTTCGCGTTCTTCGGCCTCACGAGTTTTGTATTTTTTCTGCACTTCCTTGATAAGTCTAAAGCCAGTGTTGAGGTTTGAGGAGGGTGGTGAAATTTCGCCAGGTTCTTTTGTATTTGTACTTCGATATGTTCTGAAAGAGTATTGAGGTTCTATTTATGTTGGAGTCCAAGACGCTCTTTAAATCAGCGCGCGGAATAGAGCCATAAAATTTTAGAATAGAACAGAAATTATATTTTATTCCAAGACACTCTTTGTAGAATAGAATAGAAATTCTATTCTGTTCCTTGAATCGGCGCGCGGTATAAACCCATAAAATTGTAGTATAAACATTAACGTTAAGTGTGAATATAATAGATGGTTTGATGTAATTCGACCACACGAGAAATCGGTATTTCGATATAAAAAATACTGGTACCGGAGCTAAAACGTAATAAATCCGGCCGGGTTTTGGGCTGCCTTTTACCAAAGTGCCTGGTTTTATAGCCCATTTCTACTCAAAATCGTAGGAGGAAACGACGAATACGGAATTTGGTCCATGCGTATTACAAGTTTCCAAGTAAAACATCTTGTTTAGACGAAAAAGAGGGAAATCCACACAATACCTACCTTGCAATTCTGTTGATTCTTACTACTAAGGATGCATATTACGATTTGATTTATAAGAAAATCGATTCAAGGGCATACGATCTAACGATTGTTTGTACCGATTTATTTCAATTTCATTTTCAAACGAATCGATTCGATAGAAAGGCAAATCGATTCGTCTAGATCAGAAAGCAATAAATATTTTGTAATATCATTAAATTTCAACGAAACTCGATTTACTACAAATATTTAGTTGTCGATAGTTTTTGCTGTCGATTTCGAGCATTAATGGGTTTTAACCCGATCTAAAACCGACGTCAACAACGTGCTGTGTTAAAACTCGGGCGCCTACCCATTTCAGGGCCCGAAACACGATTGACTAAACTTTGCTCGATAAAAAAAATATTAAGTTCCGCAAAATTATAATTTTTTTACTACGTCATCAACGGAAAAATAACTTTCAATCGATTGTTATTAGTGATAGTTCAATGTTTTTTTTTTCTTCCCGTGTTTCGTAATAAATACGCCAACAGACTGAGCTCATTTTACAGAAAGTGAGTATATTTTATTTCTAAAAAGCAGATGCGTTAATATCGTGCAATGACCTTCTCCGCGTCTACCTCACGCGCCTCAAAGCCTATACAACCACCACCATATACCATTTCGCCTTGGGCTGCTAACAGATTGACTGCATGTTTGCAGTTAATGCGTGAAGTCGTAATCAACTTCATGCAGCCGAGACCTCGACTGCATGAAGTTGATAACTGCATGCAGTTAATGCCTCAAGGCGTTATAAACTTCATGGTCTCGACTGCGTGAAGTTGATTACGAATTCACGCATCAACTGCATATATGCATATAGTCAATCTGTTGCCTTAATGCTGGTAGTCAACAGCGCAAATTAATTATAATAATTAGAGTTTTTAAGTTTCCTCATGAGCTTGCTGGTGGGCTATGATTTAAGCTCTCTCCAAAGGTATCACCCGTGCGCAATATTAGAATAAAAGATAACGATAGCCCAAATCTAAAGTCTGTGTTTAACTTCATACTTACACTTCCTTTACAAAAGTAGCATCAGGTTGTGAATAATTCCCACCCTCGTTTCTTCCCATAGTAGCTCCAGGATGGAAGAAATTTATCCTGAGGTACGTGTAATCTCCCTCCACCGACTGCGATATGTTCTTTATCGTGGAGATGTGGAATGGTACAGGCACACCGAAAATCGGCAAGATTACTGTTTCGTATTTGCGATCTAGAATTGAACGTTGGGTACGTATTAGGATAGATAATTGTCATATTGTCCTTGTGTGTTAGATGTTTCAGGTATCATTGACTTGGGTGGGAGCTTTTTTATTTTTTGCAACACCTGGCTAATTGGTTCGATTAATTGTTGTTACAATCTCGCAATCTACTGTTACGACGGATAACAAACAAGTTATCTGTCATAACTTGCCGTATTATTTACCTAAACTAAATAATATACATAGGTGGATAACACCTCCACCTGAAATCCCGGAATTATTATACTGTATTTTGTTTTATATTTTTGGTGATTATCCACACTGTATCCTTCATGAAAAACGTGAAAGGACATAAGTGCGACGTATTTTGACAAAAATGTATTTTAATTACGAAATATATGTAATTTTGAGTATAAAAGTTTTTTGTTACGTATTCTAATTTTAAAGGCGTTACATTTCCTAGAAAAGAATTTCAGCGTCAGTATTGTGGTTTATCAATAATTGCATTTATTTTTGTCACTTTGAAACGTGCTTGTGTTAGGCGATTTATTGCAAATTGCGTCAATTTAAAAGCGTAAAAGCTCGTTGATCACTTGGTGAATAATAATAATAATAAAATAAGTTAAAATAGATTTTTATTAGTTATCTATTATGTTGTTATAAGAATGTTAGAAAACAAAATATAAAAGTTACAAACACCTGTTAATGTAATAATATAACATAAATGAAATATAATCGTGCTCACAATCGCTCTTGGATGGTAACTTAATCTTTTAAATAATTCGATTGAATTTGTAATCCTTTACAATTAGAATTTAATTTAGTAAATTTAATAGGTGCATGTAAATTTATATCACATTACTCAAGAAAAAGATAATTTATACCAATATACAAGAAAATTATCTTCATTTCTAAATCAGCTAGAGCAGTGGCGATTGGACGGAAAAATGCATCATTTCACTCGTATCACGAATACTTAAAAAAACGAATATTGCTCCATCGATTTAGCGCGTTTCTTCCTGAGGATACAGAATTACTTTGACTACAGCGTATGTAAAGTCTCGTAATTATAATTAAAAATACATCATTATTTTGTTGTGGGTTTTTCGTAATTGTTAATCATTCCGAGATTTAAGAGGGAGGTATTATCCACTCTATGTACATATATACTTCTTGAAGTTTGGGTAAATATGCTTTGCCTATTCCGATCTCTAATTACTTGATATCTCCATGACATCACAGTACAGAGTACTAAAAAAAACGACCTCAAAAGTCATTCATGCCCTACTGAAGTACCCTCTTTTGAACAAAAAAAAGAATCATCAAAATCGGGCAGGAGTTATCGCGTAACATACATACAGAAAAAGAAACATACAGTCGAATACAGAACTTCTTCCTTTTTGAAGTCGGTTAAAAAGTAAGTCTTATTATAATAAGTATATGAGGTGTAACTTGTAAGATATTCGTAATATAGTCATAAATTCAAACCTTTCATTTGTTCAGTTGTACAGTATCTTTTCATCTTTTTAAAGAAATACAGCAATATTTCATGTATAACGTAATTTTTTTATCAACTTTTCAAAGCGAGAGTGAATAGGCATTATTTAGGTGTGCATGATACATCGTCGTGATTTTCCATTAGGTGAGATGAAAATCAAATGCGCATGTATTTGTTTAACAAGAAAAATAACTATGTATCTGCTGTACAATTACTTACCAACATATAATTTTAGCTCCTTGACTTCATTTTCTCGCGGCATTTGACTGACGCTTTTGTAAGACACAGTGCTTTTTCTCAATTTTTCTGTATCTTTTCCACTGGATTGTTTAGCTAATCGCTCTTTTGCTTTCTCATTGAGAGCTATAGCCAATTCTCTCTGATGTTCCTTGCGTTTTTCTTCAGAAGAGTGCTCTGTACGAAGCTTTGATTCGATGACAGCTGTTCTCTTGCCTCTGCCTGTAAGTTACTGACTTGTAGAAATTTTGTATAAAATTTAAAAAAAATGTTACATTTCACCTGCATTTTAGTGTCAATTTTGAATTTCAGGAAAATATTTAAAAAGTGTAATAATCGTCAATACTAGGGATTTGTCACGCATGCCGTATCGACAAAAAGTAATTAAACTGCGTTTTCATTTATGTGTGCATGCAGTAAATTTTTTATTTTTTATTTTGTATATTTTGTTATAGAGATGTGTGAATTTCAAATGTAATTAAATATTCTTATTACAAAAACTATTTTTTAATATGGGACATCTATGCGTATGTGAGCAATTTATGTGTAGCAGGGAAATACATCATGCAATTAGTGAGTTAAACTCAGAACTCACCTCCATTCTCTATCCGTCCGCGATTTCATGTAATTAAATAAAACATAAGCTTATAAAGTTATCTGCGATCACACCAAACTGATTATACAGCAAGGAAAAGATGGCAACTTAACGGTTTGCATTATACAACATTATAAAGTCCCGTACACATCCTCGAACCACTTAGCAATTCAAGTTTTTAGGTTTTCGCGATTGTCGCCCTTTACAAGTCTCATAAGGGACCGAAATATTGGTTTCTTTGAAGAAACAATTATACACGATTTGCATCCGGAGAAAATAACATTCATTTCCCAACTTGCAATTTCAGTATTAAATGTCTTATGCGTATGTAAACAATATGAGATTTAATAAAAAACTATATGCTATTGTCAAACGGACTTATCCAAAAGTTCTTGTTGAAAATAAGAGCTTTTGCACAAGGCGTATTTTATACGCACCGTAAACGCGCGTTTACGGATCTGCGCGTATACGCACGGCAGACGCGTTGTAATGAAACGATTCCAACGCGCGCAGACATCGCGTTGCAAGCAAGAAGCTTAAATAGAATTTCTAGTAGTCGTTTCGTTTAAAAAAATAACTGGAATTAACAAACAAAACTAAAATTGAAACTATCCTCCTATCAAAATGCGCGATACATACGCGCGTTCACTGCGTGCATACGCGCGTCGTCGGCGCGTATAAAATACGCCGTGTGCATAGGCTCCAAGAATTTGTTAATCCGAAGAACTTTTTTCGATGATAACATTTTTTTTTGTGTTCTAGCCCATTAAGAACAAAAATGCAAGTCTTCTTTATTAGCCGACTTCCTTTTAAAGTAGGTGAAACCAATCTTATAACATGAGAAAAGAGACCCTCTTAAACACGAGAAAAAATCTGCTCGGCCGTAGTAAATGTTAAAATTTATGCAACCCAAATGCATACAACAGCTTTTTTTTAAGGATTTCTGAAAAGACATCGAATAAAGAAGGTAGGTAATTTAAAGTGGAAGTCTATGGCGCAAATCCCCACTTTAAAGGAGACCTTTGCCTGGCAGTTGAATGTGTGCGAGTTGATGCAGTGCACCAATAAAGTTCCCTTATAGCAATGATTTACTTTCGTTTAGTTGCCATACTCTTCCTAAATATTTGTTCCAAACAATGAAAATTAAATTAAAATAATGATTTTTTTAACTCTTAACAGTAAAAAAAATACATAGCAGACGACCTTGGTGACTCAACAGTTTGCAATGTAAACGCTGGATGAGGAAGTCCTGGGTTTGTTTCCCGATAGGACCAATTTGAGAAATGAACTAACTGTATTAGAGTGGTTCTGGTCTGGATGTTGTGGGTACCTAGTGCCTCAAGAGTACATTACGTTGCTTTGGTACTTATTTAATATTAAAGGGAACTCTCTAGTTTCAGACAAGGTAACTGGTGGGGATTTCTATTTGTAATCATACTTTACTTTATTAAGTGAAGATCATAACTGCATAATTTCGACATTGTTGGTCATTTCTATAATAACGCTGAATAATCAGCTCTAAAATAATCTACATGTATAAATTAACCAAAGGTATGTGAGTTATTTGATCAAAAACAACCCTATCACAATTAATTCTTTGTAATAAATTAATAATATTGTATTGTAATTCATTAAGATGCACTTTTGTTTGAACTGAAACAATTGAAAAGGTACTATTAAAGTAAACCCAACGCTCTTTCAATAAAGTGCTTTAATTGCAGCGTTGTTTTATATTTTTGGTTAATTTGACTGTTTAGAATGTTTACAACATTTGGCTAAGGCTGCTAACAGATTGACTACATGTTTTGTAGTGAATGCGTGCAGTCGTAATCAACTTTATGCAGTTGCATTTATTTTACGCATTAACTGCATGCAATCTACTTTGACTTCAAGCAGTCGATCTCGACTTCAAGCAGTCGATCTCGACTTCATGCAGTCTATCTCGACTTTATGAAGTCAGTTTAAATCATCTTCATAGTTGATAACGACTTCACGTCGATCTCGATTGCATGAAGTCGGTTTCGACTTCATACAGTTAATGTGTAAAGTTGACTACGACTTCACGCATTAAGTGCAAACATGCAGTCAATGTGTTAGCAGTCTTGTGGTATCTGGAGGAAATAAAACAATCTTATCAATTCGTAGTTAAGTTCACTTATGTCTGAACATAGATGCTCCACGCGTATCAACCTAAGCCGTATCAAAGAGAAACAAGAGATTTAGTCGTTACCTCTGACATCAATCTTTATTATGATTATGAATGTTACCAAATCAGCAAACCTACACTACATAGGTCCACAAAAATGTGGCCAATATTACATTATATCAGGAACTCAAAATAGCTACTGTTGCAAATGGGTGAACCACATACATTTTATGGTTCGGGTATACTCGCCCATAACTATTGCTCTGCTGTTTACATGGAGTCAAAAGATTCGTTATTAACGACCAAGGAGAATCGTAGCAGTGGGAACATGGGTATTTAGGATGACATAATAGAGGCTAAGAAGTCATATTTGAACACTCAGCCACAGCTGAAACTGTAAATTTTAACGTAATGCATATGACTTAAATAAAAAGTATCTATACACGTATTGTATCACCATTTCTCAGTTCAAAGTGAATTAGCAACCTCTACAAATGACTAAGGGGAAACACTCACCAAGGATCTCAGTCTTGTTTTCCTTTTCTTCCTCTTCGTCTTCATCATCGTCTTTCAGAAATATTCCAATGTTTTTTATTTTTTTCTTTGATTGTGTGAGCAGAGTTGCCGGTTGCTCTTCATTAACCAAAACTGTGTCGCCAATGAAGAGCGCGTATGTCTAAAATAGAAATGCAGAACATAGAGGATAATGCAAAGTCATCTTCTTTTTATTAAAAAGCACATAAAGTAAAAAAATAAGGATAGAATTGGCAAGTCATTCCTGGCATTGTAGCACTGATTGGCACAAGATAATTGGTAGTAAAAATGCCTTAACAAAAAAGGGCGTCATACGACTACGCCACACGGAGGGAAAGTACCGTAGATAAAGAATTTTACTGAAAGAAGATTTCATTTTGATTTTAAAAACAATTCGAACCGCATTAAAAGATTTTTAAATAATCGCCTGTCTGAACCGGGAATGTGAAAAAAGACACCTGTATCCTGTGTGTTTTACTATACTATTCGAAAGCGTCAATTATAAGAATTGTTTTCTCCTAATAATATACTTAAATAAAAGAAAGATCATGAAATTTAACATTTAATTTGAAATTTTGTTGTAGTTGTATTTTATTTTGTTGTACATGTAGTTTTTTTTGTAATCTGTACACCTAAAACAGTAGGAAAATAAATTGACCTGCAATCAACGTCAAGAGCGTAAAAGATTTTTTGAGAAAGAATTATCCTATAAATTAACGTTTCCTAAACAAATATGGTTATTTTAAAAACCTACATAATATATCAAAATAACGTTAATATTAAGGATTATTGATTAAAAAGAGTATCAGTGATTTTACTATTACAAGTGCCAATCATTGTAATTACCGAGTGACAATCTCTGTACATTCAGAAATTGTTAGTCGTAAAACAAATCAAATTATAAAAGATATTTACCTTGCCCTCTTTTTCTGTAGCCGCACTGTTTGTCAAGTTAGCCAAGCCAATGTTTATGTTAAACACCATCCCTTTCTTAGCCAAGACGGAAGTTTTCGGTCCTATCACAATTGAACTCTCACGGAACTCTATGCCAGTTGCGAATCCAAACGTCTTAGTAAGGTTATCAACTAAGTCGGGCTTTTCTTTCTTAGCCAGTGCCAACCCAGCTTCATAAACAGCTGAAAGCTTTGCTCCCGCAACGAGATGCTTCATGACTTCTTCTTCTATATTGAGAAGAAAATTGTAATTGCTCTGAATCTCATCTGTGGGATTGACAAGTAAGGTACGAACGATATTTGAGCAATATGACTTATATCTCGTACCTAGAGAGCATACAATCGCGCCAAAGTGCAAATGATTTTTGTCTGAGACAGCACTGAATTTGAGACTGTAGTGCCCCCCTGATTGAATGATAGGGGGGTAGCACATGTCCACTTGGCTTGTGTCCACGCCTGTAACATATTTCTTGTCTGATATCGCCGCTTCAACGCCTTCAGCCAATTTAGAGTGCTTGACTTTCTTGTCAGAATCAATTATCTCCATAATTTGGTCTTTCAAATACTTTGTAAACACATCGACTGTGACCAAACATGCTTTCTTTATAGTGATAACCTCAGGATCTTCCTTGGGCGCCATTAGGAAAGCGATTGAAGAACTTATATCTACATTTTCAAACTTTTCAGCTTTCATTGCAGCTTTCCAACTTTCACAAAATTCGCCAGGATAGTTGTCTTTAGCAAAAACACCTAGTGTCTTGCCTGATTTAGACTTTTTCATCTCTTGAATGAGTTTGTTGAAGTTTTCTTTGTCTTTGTCATTCTACAATAAGACACGTGATTCTATAAGTTTAGCAATTTCAAAAGGAAACTGGTCATATTACAATCTTTATTTATACAGGGTTATTTTTAAAATTGTAACATCCCAGGGCTATATTACTAACAACATAAACAACAACTTTTGTGAAATGAGTCCACTAGTTTGTTATAATTATTAATACAAAGATCGAACACTCAGAAAAAAATCCTTCGATCCGGCTGGATTCGAAGCGACGTCTTCTAGCATACTGTGCCAGGCGCTATACCAACTAACCCACGGAAACTGGTCATATTACAATCTTTATTTACACAGGGTTATTTTTAAAATTATAACAACATAAACAACCACTTTTGTTCCATAGTGGTTGTTCACGATGTTAGTAATATGGTCCTGCCAGGTTATAAGTATTTTAAAAATAATCCTGTATATCATATAAATACAGATATTATAACTCAATAGATCATTATCAAAAATGTCTAAAAATAAGTGTTTAAAAAAAAAAGTGTTTTCATAAAAGCTAAATATAATTAAATTACAGCATTTGTATTTAGCTCTCTAAACAAAATAATATCTACAGTAATTTTTGATTAATCAGCATTGAAAAAAACGTCATGAAACAACCCTTGAATGTTCCACATTTCAAGAAAAAAAAAGAGAAATAGTCAAGAATAAATCATCAAGAATTTTTAAATAACTTGACAACATTCTCTATTCAAAATTGATAGATATTACTTACTCTGTCTCTTATAAGGAGTTTCACTGGGGGTAAATCAGGTTCATCTTTTCCATTCTCAATTTGCCGGAGGAACTCAATCTTCTTTTTACTGGCCAGAAAGCACATGCTGTTTTCTGTCAGAACTGTGATTGTATCTGGTAGCTCGTATCCAAACAGCCATGTCTGGTTTAGAATGACAATAAAAATCAATATAATAATACATACAAATATTCCTTGATGTAATAAACAGTTAATAAATAAAAATGAAATAAATAACAGAATTTCCTTGGAAAAGTCAAAATGTAAATCTTTTTGTAAAAAACCAAAGAACAAAAGGTGGCCAAGTTGCCATGTTGCAATACTTTGAAGGCAACTAATTAAAAATGGACAAAAGATACTGTGGGTTCAACTTATAATAAAAAAAGATTAAGCGCACAATGTTTATATAATTTATTCTTGAAGAGACATCCTGATATTGGCGACATATCTAAAAAAAACATAGTGTCAGAGAGCAAAACAAGAAAAACACAATACTTTTAACAAAACTGCAAATATAGAAAACATTTAAAAGAAAGCATGGCTCATACCATGAAATCATTGCCATGGCTCATACCATGAAATCATTGCCTATTTACTTCTTCTATAAAACCATGAAAGTTGCTATTAGGATGAAATAAGAAGTTTCAGAACAAAGACTGATAAATTTCGATTCAAATTTTGTCCAGTCTTGTTGAATGGATCTACCGCATTGTGTTCAGAACTGTGCAATTGAAACATATTTTTAAAGCGAATTGAGTGGTTGACGTTCAAGCCAGATAATTTATTCATAGAAACAAACTAAAACTGCTGTTTGGCAATTAAGAAAGAAAAAGTCAAAATGTGTCTTAGCGGTTTGTGTTAAGCTAACAAATTTTGACAACCGCAGTTGCCTAGTGGATAACCCTATAGGCAGTAGACATCTTTATCAGGAACCTCCTGGCTCTGAGTTAGTTCGATTCCCAGAAGGGCAAATTTGAGAAATGAACTTCTGTAAATTAGTTCATTTCTATGAGTTAGGTTCTTTATGTTCTAGGTAATGACCCTGAAAATAATATTGTTGTTCTGGTGCTCATATTACCAGGAACTCCTAGTTTGAGACCAGGTAATTTGTGCAGTTGACTGGCATATTAATATTATATTGTTGGAAATACTATCACATGCATTAATCATCATGCATTAGTTTTTATTTACGTCTGACCAAGTAAAATTTTAATACTTTACATTAAATTGCACAATAATATGCAATTATAATGATAGAATAAATAATAACAACATGAAACTGGTTAACACTGGTAATATACAATGAGACCTCAATAGTCGAATAGGTATGTAGTTAATGACTTCCAAAGTTTCAAGATTATTTTAAAAGGTATAGAAGCTATATTGCAATATGAAAATGAATTACAGAAATTTGTGGGTAGGAAATATTATAACAAAAACGATAATTAGAATACCAGCTGCTAAAATAAATGGAGGGAAACTTATCATAAATTGGCTATAGGAGAATATACAATATTCCTTCACTTTAATACTCCCATCTTAATAAAAAAAAAGGCCTTTTATTACTTTTGGCGTCCCGATAGCAAGTCTGTTCAATTTACTAGGAAAAAAAATAACAAACCTGTAAGGCTGTAGACTTGCTGTAAAGAGTGTCTTCGTCCACTCCGACGCATGAAACCACACAATCAGCCTTTGCCAACGCATCATCGCTTTTTGGATCTACTGCGGCAGCCTGCGAAATATACATTATAAGACAAACGATCATGAAATACTTCTATTTTCACACACGAAAGGTAAACCAACCTTCCACGCAGCATACAGCCTCTTTATACGACGGTAGAAGGTATCTTTATCCAATGATATATTGGACATCGTGAAAAATACTTAGAAAACCTAATTAATAACAATATCCTACGTAATTACGCCTCGGCGATAGAAAATTAAATCACGTTTCACGACATTTAACTTTTTGACAGCAAACACAAATGGCGGGCGTCTATATGATATGTTCTACTTGTCTATGTGTGGTTTTGAGGAAGGAGGAAAATACAGGTAAGCGCTGGTAGGCGGAAATTTTTGAAAACCCCTACTCACGTCGAGATAATGCAACCGGAAACAAAGTACTGCCATAAGCAATAATTTCATCTTTTTGCGTTTCGCCCCTAAAAATTAAGTTGGTTTTATCGTAATTCAGAAGACAAAAATACAAAACGCAAATGTGACACATCAGAAAAGCGCGAAGTGAAATAATATTATTGAATAGAACTGTGCGTGCATTTTTCAGCAATATGGAAAAATTAAAAGCTGGTGAATTTGTCTATCTTACGGATTATGTGTTAAGAATTCTTTCACAAAACCGTGTTACAACTATACTGGAGTTCTTGCAAGAGGATACAGGAAAGTTATCTACTCTTACAAAACTTAGTTTACCCCAAATACTAGCTTTAAGAAACGATATATTTAAAAAATATTCGGCTCCTATCGTGAATGGGTCAGCACTGCTATTTAAAAGTATGAATAATAAAAGACTTTTAAGTACCGGAATCAATAAGTAAGTAATAGTTATTTTGACCTCGAAAATATATTGGATAAGCTTTTACTTGAAGCCACAGGCAATCGCAAATTTTTAGTTCACTTTATTTAAGACTATTATTTTTTTATATTAATTAGATGAGTAAAAGGTAAAACATTTCTATTTTTTTACTTTTAGTATACTATGGTTTATTTAAAGGCATGTAAGTATATTAAATATTGAAGTCAATTTAACTTTTTTTTATTTGTAGGAAATGAAACTATTTTTCCGGATTTAAATCGCGTATATTTGTTTTTTCAAACAAACCTACGTTTTTTATTTGTTTGTTTTTTACAGTTTGGATGCCATCTTAAATGGAGGAATACCAACTGGATACTTAACAGAACTATGTGGTTTAGCGGAATCTGGCAAAACTCAGTTATGCCTACAGCTAGCAATAAACACTGTTAAAAACAGCGAAAACACTGTACTCTATATTGATACTAAAGGGGACTTTTCTGCTACTCGGATACAAAAGATATTAGATGCTTGTGGCTGCTCTCATAAGGTAGCTAAAATATATATCTAATAATTTATTTATTTCGGGTAATAGAAAACAGATCACAGTAAAATTTTGTACATCTGTAATTTATAAGGTAACCTTGTACTTATTTCAAATAGGTCTGAATGTTATTTGTTATTATAATTTAAAATAAATATAAAATTTATTGCATTTACTTGGGTTTGGTTTGTAAATGTAGTGAAAACCTACACTAAGGAATTTTATTCTTTATCATTGATAATAAATATAAATAATAAAATCCAAAATTTATCTATTAGGCTATGGGAAGGAAGAGAAAGTACATAAAATAGAGACCCTTAATAGTAATAATAATAAATTTACTTAAAATAATACAATACTGTAACGTAAGTGGATTCTTATGTTTTAATGGCATGTGTAAATATTTTGTTTTCAGGAAATGGCCATAGTAATGTTTAAAATAAGAGTCATTCACATTTGGACTATGGATGAAATTCTTGAATTTCTAAAAAGGATAAAGAATAAAACAATAATTATAGAAAGATTAAGTTTAATCATTATAGACTCATTGCCATGTTTGATGTTCCAACATTTGGGCGATGATAACAAAATTGGTAAGTAAATATTAATTTGCAGCAAGTGATGAAATAGTGGTATGATTTGTGATTATTGTTGTCTGATTATTTATTAATCATGTTGATGAACTTTGTTTCAGGCTTAACATTTTTAAACACTTTTGTTAATTACAGTAGGTATTTATGCAAAGAATTTGAGTTGGTTATGCTGTGTGTAAATATACAAACAAGATGGATTGACCAAGCTACTGCAGATCTTGAAGGTAATATAAGTGTTGAAGTGTAGGTGACTTGAGGTGGTATTTTATGGAGAATAAATTATTCTCACACTAAATTAGTTTGTCTCTTCTGAAGCACATGTAAGAGCAGTAAAAGTACCTTTTACTTGTAGATGAAGGTGACTACTAACTTCATATTTAATTAATTTCAAATACTTAGATATATTTCTTTGTGCAATCATTAGAGGTTGAATGGTTGCCAACAGCATTTATATCATAAGTTATCTATAAGTTATTGAAATCCTAAATGCAACTCAGGTTAATGATGGCCACTTCTGATGAACTGAGCCATTTATATGTAGACCATGATTATTGGTTTCAGATGTCAACAACCAATCTACATCAGTTAATAAAGAAATGTATATGGAGAAGCGAAATCGCTGCTTAGGAAGGTATTGGCAACAAATACCAGCTCTTGTGATATTATCAGAAAAATGTCATAGCGCTTCAAAAGAAGTTTGTGTATTAATCAACGTTTCTGTTATAAAGTTTAATAACATAAAATGTGATAAAAAATGTGTTTTAAAAATCAGTGATGGAGGTGTTACGTAAATAAAATTAATTTTCCTCATTCCGTTTGTTGGTGCCCTTTTTGGATTTCGCCAGTATTGAGTTTATTCCGACTAGATCTTCTAAGATATATAATACCTTCTATATACTAAATATCTGCCATCCACTAACTAAAACGCGTGAAAGTGACAAATTGTCAAGTATCCGTTTTAAATAGAAAAAATAGAGCACATAATGCTCTTTTAAAATTAGTTAACGTGTTCGACTTATCGGCATTTCTAAAACTAGGTTATGGTTTTTTTTATATCAAAAAATTTTTTGTCACTTAGCCGCGTTTTAGTTAGCGGACGGCAGATATAATTATGATTCTGACATGATTTCCTATCATGGAACCTTAGAGGATGGAAAAAAACATAAAGGAACACGTAACTCATCCTTCCTAGGACAATGTTTTTCAATTGTCTAGGTTCGTCTTAGAAGATGTAAAAAAAATAAAGGAAAGGTCCGTTTTGATTATGTGTCTCCACCAACGCGGTCTAATCAATCACTACGTATGTACATTTTGCTTTGTATGTCCAAGAAGATACACGTCATTAATCAATAGATGGTGCTGGTATCTCTTTTTTCTTGCAATTATTAGACAATTTTTCCAAACCCGAAAAATGTTAAACACCTGAACGCAGGAAACCAGTAGAAAACATGAGTTTGGAGATATATTTGCCACTGTTTATTGTTGCTCTAGTGTTTTTCATAGATGGCGTTCGATGTTCAGACATTTTGGTGACAGTTCTTTGATGTTTGGAGAACCTTCAACAGATGGTGCTGTTCTCGCATTTGTTTATGGTATTTCTATTATAGGAAGGAAGTTGACCAATATTGTTATTTTGATCCGATATCTGCCCGATTTTCGTTGTCGACGGCATCGATCAAAGTTGACATTATTTATTATCATTGAGTTAGTGCATATTAAAAATAAAATTTTGTAATTTACATATTAAATTGTTAAGGTACTCCCATATAGAAGAATATAAAAATGTATTGATTTTTACCATCGGGAACTTATACAACATGCTATGACTGGGATACCGTCATGTGTGCAAATTTCACTAGCATTAATTCATTAATTATTATTTACTATAGTACTGTCAAAAGCACACCAAGCTTCACATTTTGGACCGTTCTTATCGTAAGCGGCAAAGAGTTGGATTTAAGTTTTAAGTGTTAAGTCTTGACGTGCTCTTGAACCTGTACCAGCCAATATGACAATGAGGCTGTCAGTACTACTCACGAGTACGGTAACTTAATATATCTACGTAACGTCTTTTTCAACGCTTTCACTGCTGCCAGGCGTTTGTTGTGCTGAGGCCACATCGGCGAGTGTGAAAAGGGCCGAACTCTACTATCATCTAATAAATTGTCTATGATCTACTCGTTCAAAAAGTATTACTTCGTCAAAAATCATTCATTTCATTCTTTCGTTTGAGCGCACGCCTGTGGGCGATGCGTATGTCTTGAACTGTGATGGCTCTTTTTATCACTTTTGTAAATTTAACATTTTTATGATATTTATGTGCTTAGTTTCCTTGGTAGTGTAATTTTATTTTAATTTACTTAATACGTTTAACAAAAATGGCGAATCAACCCAATAAAATCGTGTACAAGCTTGTGCTCACTGGTGGTAAGTTTTTCAATTTGTAATTTTTATTTTAGCTAATTTTCTGTAAGTTTCCATGGTAAATATGTTGTTGTGTGTTTAGTATTTAATGGAAACTTTAGTTCTTTTAGCATATAAAGTGTTACTTTGCCTGTTAGAAGGTTGAAACGCAACACGTGGAGAATCTTGGCATCGTTTTAATTCAATCCACACTATTTTTTAACCTAACCAGGGCCTTGCGGCGGGAAAACTACTGGACAGTCCCGACTTAGCACATTTTTCGAGAACTTGGGATGGAAGGTGAGTTGTATAATTTAAATTTTAAGTAAATAATTGCTCAGAAATCTTGTCTCAGTATTTTAACTTTTTCAAAGTGAAATCATAAATGTAATGTCTTTTGAATTACACTCAAAGATTGTTAAAGTCCTTTTAGTCGTGAAAAGACTTCATTTATTACATTTTGTATCCCATATTTGGCCCTACCAAAATGTAATTGCCTTCAAGCTTTCAAAATTGCATCCTCTCTTAAGGGAATTTTAGAAATTGGGGGCTTCTATTGTAATACTTAGGGTGGCTGTGGTAATGGTTTCTCCAGGTGGAGATCCAATAAGACGTCGTTCCACATTGTGTTTATTTCCAGGTGTTCCGGGTGCCGGAAACGGCTACCGTCCTTCTCAGGTACGAAGTGCACCCATCACAAATTGATAAGTGTAGAATTTGTAATTTGTACATTAAATTTACTTTGAACTTTACTGCTATAAAACTGTTAAGAATGAGTTAAAATTTTTTTAAAGTTGGATTTGTAAGAATTTTTTGCTGTATCATGAAATTTATTGCATTTTTCTATACTAATTTTCAAAGGTAGTTATTGTAAATGAAATACCTAATGTGCTTGGCACATGCTCATTTTTCTGAGTAATATGATCCAACAGACAAATAATTGCTGTAATGAACATTTTTTTAATTTGGAAAGTTCAAATTAATTGTATTGCAAATTAAAATTCGTACACACTGTAGAATTTGTGTTGATGCATTGTACTGAATTCTTATGTCAAAATTCATATTGATAACCTTTACAAGCCAACCAAAGTTAATTCTTTATTTGGCTTGTGAAAAAAATCTAGAAAATATTTTTTTTTATTAAGTTTTGATCCTTCATTATTAAATGTAGAATCAAAGCTTGCATTTCTTGAAAGAATATAAAGTTAATAGTAAAATTAAAGTATTTGTTACTTACTTGAATATTTTGAATTGAAATTTGTATTTTTTTCAAATTGTGTACCTTTTTATGGACCCACTGCAACTATTTGTTATCTTTTTTTACAGTGGTGGCATCAAATTTGGCGATCTCACCCCAGATGAAGGTATGTAGATATACTATTATAACTATTCTCATTGTATTTGATGTTCTTATATCTCTTCTTGTTAAGTAAAAATTGCATTTGATTTTCATGTATTACATTCTATTTATTTGTAGGCAGGTTTTCCCGAATAGAATGAGTAAGAAAACCCAAAAGTTTATTAATAGATATATTTTTACTTATACTTCACATATTTTCAAATTAACATAATTTGAAATATACCTATGTAATAGTAGTTTTTTTTTTATTTTGTTTAATATGTCAATATTGAAATATGCATAGTAATGTGTTAATAATTTATTTAGTTAATACATTTAAATATTGGGTAAATTAAATACAATTCTTTATTGGAAACAAGCATATAGATTTGCTCTATTTAAGATTCCAATTTATTAACTCATACACTTTTAAGTGCTTGTTTAGGAGACACTTAACAACTTTTACTATGAAGGTCTCTTATAATCCCGTAAAAATGTTTACTATTCCCTAGTAAATGTTACATACCTACTGTAACATTACCTGTACTTTTTTCGCGCTAATAGGGTGACGGTCATAAAATTAAGTTTCTTATAATATATTTATATATATTTGTTTTATTTGATATTCTAAACATTGTTTGCATGTTCAGTTACATATTGATTCAACGTAACGTTAGCAATGTCTTTGGTACGTCTTTTAAAATAATAAGTATTAATATAGGTAGGGTATGTACATAAGAATCATGTGAAAGTGAAAACAACAAAAGCATTTTATCAAGTAAGAAGTACTTCTCAGGGCATTTTATCAAGTAAGGAGTACTTCTCAGGTTATCACTCTCAGTATACACGAATGTCTAGCGGGAAATAATGGATGTGCCTGTTGCACCTTTCTTATGTGCAACTTTTTCGTAGCACACAATCCCAAATGCCTTTAAGAAACATATCTATTAGGGTAGCTTGTTTTAGAATGATCTTAACTATGCTATTAAAAAAGTGTTATTTTTGAATAGTCAACTCGAGGCTATATTTGATTAACATAAATATATGTAGGCTAGAGATTAAATGCGTTTAGTTATTTTTCCAAATATAAATTTTGAACTAACTTCAAAGATATTTTTTATTAGTGAGTCATTAAATCTTATACATTTATAGAAGGTACACTACAGAAGACATTATAATAATATTATGTTTGTAAATACCATTTAATTTCTCACACAATTGTGATTCAATGGAGTGAGTTAACTAAACACTGTGAATGTTGACTTGACTTCTGTAAAATGTTGTTGCAATAAACTTTGTCATTGAAAACCTTAGTAGTCTAAGGAAATTATCAAATTTAGTTAAGCGCAGGCTGACTTTAACTCCGGGTGGTCTTTTATATTACGGTAGACTAATATAAATCCCCAACCCGTTATACAACTATGGTATAAACTTAATTTTAATATAGCCAATAAATTTATAAAATACAATCATGAACATAAAGCCTTAAGTACCGCTCTAATGTATTAACCTTTTATGGATACAGCCAATAAATTTACGAAATAATTGGAAAAAACAAATTTCCAAATTAAAGTTCAAATTTTTCGCCTATCTAATTTCTTTTCTTATTTAATTCCTGGAAAGATAAGCATATTGTGTAGGATTGCCTAATGTCTATCATTTAGAAATGTGACACCACTGGCGCCATGTTGTTTTTTGCTTTTGTATTTTTTTCCAGATTCCTTGATTTCAGAGCAGGCAAATTAAAAATAGGACAAAAGAAAATAGGAAACTACCCGGAACGCAATTATCTTTCCTTTCATGAGGCTTCAAAACATTCTTTTTACTGCACTATATCCTGTTGGTAAATGTTGTTACTTCATTGTTTAGCAAAAAATATACGCAGTCTAAACAAAAAGCCGGTACACTAACCAAGCATAAAATTTAAAAGAAAATGCCTTTCATTTTTATTTAAAAAATACTGGCAAAGATCAATAAGACTCGGGGAAATCTTGACGTGCCAGTGTTTACCATTGACCGTTGCCAAAAGTTAAATCACGTGGATTTTTTCCGCCATTGTCTCCGCGAAAATAGAAAACGAAATAGTAATACTTTTTAGAAGACTGATTTGTTTACAACATACCTTGATTCTTGCGCTTGTCGTATTGTTATGCAATATTACGTGTTATAAGAAAATTTGAAGGCAATGAATGACCTAATATTGTCCCTCTCCCGACCATCTGTCGTAACTAGCATTAGGCAAATTTTTCAATGTATTTTCGGTTCCGTATTTCACATCTTTGCGTCATCAATTCATGACTCTTTTATTTATAGAAACACAGATATATAGAGATTGACCAGTTAACAAAATAAATACAGTTTCACTATGTCCGGTCAAACATTAGGAACTGCAGCTAGTGTTATATTCATTTATAAAAATGATAGATAGGCATTTGAGGATTTGTTCAGAATATTCGCTTTTGAAAGCTCATTAATATCATAAGTATAACAAGATAAAGTTGCAGTTCGTCATGAACGGACGCACACATTCACATAATCTCGAGGCGCACTCGAGTTGCACTGCGCGGGTCGCACTCGCCATTCATTATAGAACTGAAAGCGTTCGCTTCGTGTTACAAAATTAATAATAAATATAATAGTTATTTGTTATGCAATGCTGCAAAGTTGTTGTTTGACGCAAGTGCTTGTATTGAAACCTGAGCAAGCGAAGAATTCTTTCGCGAGTGATTAACAAATATAATCCGCAACACAACTTAACACGATACGCAAAACAACTTAGGTACCGAGCGAAACAACTTTTCACCTCACTATACCTAGGAAAATGGTAGATGCAAGAAAAACAGTTGAACTATAACAAACAAAATTAGTTATCGTTGTCAATTTAACGTCAACAATAATAAGGATAAAGTATGCCTTCGCATTTCATTTCTATTTCATTGTTATACTCCCATAATTAAACTGCATAATTAAACACAGATCCCGGGTTCGATTCCCGATCTGGGAGAAATACATTTATTTCTCTCGTGAGTTTCAGGTTTGGGTGCAATTTGTGGTTGTGTATGTGTGTGTCCATGGCACCCGCGACACAGTATTTCCTTAGTGTGCGGGTCTACGTGTACGTAATTGTTATTATTATAATCGAGATACTAATCCGCGATGCTAGTATAAAAATATATACATAAAAATGGTATTCAAAATATGTAAATTCTGCATTTGAGAAAGGTTATTTAAATACAGCACGAGAATACTGTGATTAATACTGTAGGTACAACTACAACTAGACTGATGCTTCACTGCATACTAAAACGTTGTATATTCGAACAAATATCTTTAAATTACCACTGGACATCGACAGCTGTCCCCTTGATTACCCCTGACCTTTATGACTCAAGGGATATGAATAGCAATACGTTTCTTCTTTATCGAGGGCGTGTCCCTGACGCGGGGTTGTGAGGTAGGTTCACGCCTCCAGTTCGCCTATGCCAAGTCTTTCATAGCTATTGCACTAATTTCACAACTTCACGAAATCGCTATTTCTAGAAAATGGTTCATAGTTTGGCATGATTCTAATTGATATATGAACGTGATTCTATCACTCGTCCTCAACCCGCTTTCTTTAGTCATATTGTATGCTTAAAACCACAGATAATCTGTTTCTGCAAATTTTCGCAATGATAAACTTTAACACAGCTCTTTGAACCGGTTATAAAGTAAAAAAGTTTTGACGTTTCCGTGTCGTAATTTGGCAGACGGCATACAGATTTACGAATTTGTATCCCAACAACTCTTTATCATCACAATGTCAAACTCAATGCCAATTCATAATCGTAGTAGTAAGGGACACAAAGTCCACTCCGAATGGTATCGGAATTGCGATATTTTAAGTTTAAAAAAATCGGTCTCGTAAATCACGGGCCTCCCCGTTTATTTTTGTTGGTTAAGCTTAGACACGCTGCCAGATCCGTAACGATGCTTTTCTGTCACTAGGATCTCTGTTATTCTAACTATCCTCCAGAAATAGAGTTCGGTCTGACAATGTTACCCAAATGAGCTTTTAACGATATAATTAATTTATTCTATTCAGTGTAGACATTGTATTGAATGAATATTGATAGACACATAAAATGTATGATTTAAAGCACCCACAAGATTCACAACTTTCTGAAATTCACAGCAAACAAACTTGAACGTGAATATCTTGTACGTAACCGTTAGTTCGACTACGGGGATCTCGTGCCCGCAGTTATTGGCATTTATTTAATGCATCGAAGCACTAAGCGGTCTCGCAACCATCTCGGAAATCTGTTCAATCCATTACGTGCAAGGACGTCCGTTCGAGAAGGTATTCCGTATAATCTTCTTATAAAAATGGTGTTATGTATTAGATAACTAGACGAGTATGGGGCTTCATGGCTTGAGCACGTGCGCTATTTGTGACGTAACACGCTCACGGTCACGTTCAAGAGCATCTAAATAAAACCAGCAATTATCGTTTGAAGAAGCTGGAAACATAAATTACACTTTCATAATAGAATAATATTTTGAATAGCAGTTTATAGAAGTCATGATTGTGCACACATCAATATCATTCTAACTATCTCAACAATTTTCCGAGTTGGGTCACGAAGTCTTGCAAATCAAACGAAATTACGATTCATTGCGAAATCCATCATACTTACTCGATACGATTTACTGTGAAACCATTTACTTACCTCGTCAAAATCAAATTACTTATATTTCGCATAAAACAGAACCTAAAATGTACGTATTTAGACAGTTGTAAATCTTGCTCTATTACTTATGGTTATCTGATATAGTTACTGCCCTAGTTTCGTGTAAAATTTCAGTTTGTTTCCTATGTTTATCATCAAGATATCCCGTGGTCTCTCGAATTTCGAGTGATATCTCAATGACCCTAATTTACCATTGTGTGATACCGATTACGTCGAAACGTTTCAAGATTGTAACTTCTCAAAAGATCATACTTTCAAGCGCTTTTGTTTCTTTTGTGTTGGTGCGCAGTGTATTTTTATTCGACATCATATAATAATACTTAAATGTACTCGTGCGCTACTGTTTAAGAGATGAATTACAGACGATTTTAATGCTTAATGACTTGCGTAACGGAACACTCGATAACACTTGTTAGTTGCACAGACGTAACAAGCGCGACACAATTTTCCATAGTAGTTAGTTTGTTCTAATTCATTACCTCCGACCGAGAACATTTGCGAAAAGTGAATGTAACTTGTATCTATTGTTCATTGGGCTTTATTAATATTGTCATGATATACTGACGATCACACGAATCGGTATTGCGATGTATTGTTTATCACAATGTTATTTATTTTAAAAAACTCTTTTTTTTGTGCCATGCAGAATTCTTTACTCTAGCCCCTTATTTCCTCTTCCTCTAACAGTAGTTAAAGAAATTCAAGGAAAGGAATTTTGATGTCGAAATTAGTTTATGGCATTTCAATACTCATTCTTATTGTGTAAGTATGTTAGTAAATATACCGTTAATTGTCCTAAAACGTATTAAAAAAAATAAACTATGACATCTAACGGATAATCTGTTTGCCGGGCTTTCAATTTCTCAAACAACTCGTCTTGGATTTTGCTCTATATACGAAATGGTGCTTTCTGAAGAATATTGTATTTCATTATTTGATGTGTTATAGGACTTGTTCAATACTAGTCACTAGTTAAAATTGTCTTGCTTCCGCTTAAATTCGCATGATGTTATTGCAATTAAACAACAATAACAAAACTGTCCATTGTAGTAGTCTTCAGTTTATTTTACACGACATTCGGGAGCCATTAAGTATTACAATGTCATCAAACACTGTTGATTTCAAATACCCATTGCTTATTTAACTTTTTATTTTCCAATTTACACTGAAATTTTGTTCGAGAAACCCAATTTCATCAATTTTACGCAAGCATAAGACGCAAATTTCCTTGGAAACCTTTCGTGTGATATTCGGAGATCGTTAAATTTTGTTCCTACCAACATAAGTTGGCTACGTAAACATCCCAACCCCCGTTTGACGTTGTCACTCAAGTCATGACTCATGATCACGTTGGGGCAGGATTTGTATGACTACACATAGTACATGCGAGTGGAACAATCTTTCAACAAGACGACACGTTTTCTGTTTTTGTGTACAGAGTGACGTTATTTACACGTCAATTTATTTGAATTATGAGACTATTCATTTAGTACGTTTCTTTACATACTACACGAGTTCTTTCGTAAATAATTGATAATTTAAGACGAAACAAAATAAAGGATTTTGAATTTTCTCCTGTTACCTATTGGTGTTTAACTTTTCTTCTATAAATTACGTTATTATTGGTTTCAATTTTTAAGTTCAGTTGATATGGTATTAATCAGTTCAATAATCAATCCATCAATCAGTATTGCAATGTTTCTTGTTCAGTGTAACTGTCCCTTATCAGCAAAAATCTATCTGTGTACTTAATTATCATACTGTAATGACGTAAACGGCCAGATTCCAACGTGGGCGAGGTATTGTTTGCGTCTGCAACATGTTCATTTATATTGTTCTGCATATTGCACGCTTATTTTCAACGGTAGTTTAGCTCTTTATATACTACATGTATTTCCATGACTATCAGTTGGCATGTTTATAGGAATGTTACTAATTCAACGGCTATTTGCCACTTGGAATTTGATGACTGCGATTTGTAATTCAAAAAGAAAATAATAAATCTATCTTACTGGTTTTATAATTTATCTCAATAATATGAAGAACCAATATTTATTTTCAAAAAAGCTGTTTCCTATCCAAAATCAAAGATCTGCAACAAGCACTTAGAGGTCAACTGAGCCACAGAAGGTCTACTCGTTCCGTAGCTCATCTGGGGTCGGTTTAGTAAAGTCGCTGCTTCTGGTCCAACCGGGTCGAAGGAATTTTTCTTTGTCTTTGTTTAGTCTTTGTACCAATAATAAGAACGATCACTAATTAAATTTCAGACAATTGCTTTGAATATTAAATTACAAATTGCTTTGTTATAAGTACGATATCGAGCTATAAGGTCGCGATACATGGTTAAACAGTCATCAAACAACGTAAATATCTAATTGTAAATAATCTTATTTACCAAATTGAATATCAAACACGTTTTAGATCGACCTCGCACCCATTTTGAAACCTTTGAAGTGTTTTCACAGCTCTTTTGTCAATATTGAATTCATGGTTATCGATATAAAAAGTATTACTTACCTTACTCAACTAAGTTCAATGAACTTTTATTTGGTTTAAGGCCTCCGATCAAAGTCACCCAAGAAATCGTTTTACTCTTTATACAATAGAAAATAAGTACGTGTGCTTTTTAACCGACTTCAAAAACAGGAGGTGGTTCTCAATTCGACTGTACGTTTTTTTTGTGTGTATGTTACGCAATAACTCCGGTATTTGTGAACCGATTTTCATGATTTTTTTTGTAGGAAAGAGGGTACCTCCATAGTGGTACCATTTAATTTTGAAGAAAATCATCCACCTCTAAGGGTGGCTGTTCACGCATGAAGATTCATTTTTATAAATAGCGCCTAAATTTTATTATAACGAGCAATTATTTTAATGGTTGATTTTGCTATTCTTTAATTGAAGGCGTTTTTCTCTCTCCAATATGCTTTGAGTACTGAGAACCGATTTTTAATCTCTTGTGTCAAGTCCCGTATAGTGGCGAACCTGGGGGATGAATCCGGGTTTGCGCACTTTCCGGTAACCGTTTTCAATAAAACTTGGTAATTATATGTAATTCCACGCACTTTTGAGATTGGTTTTTTTAGTACTCTGTTCTGAGATTATTTACTAGACACTCATATTAAATTACGACATACCACTTGGTTGTATTGTATTATTTAGAAATGACTTAAGTTTTTATGTGTAACATTTAAATCATAAAAGGATTTAGTCTACGAAATGTAGTCCAATCCAGTCCAGTTTGCGACGGAATTGCATGAAATCGTTCTTCGATCCGCTTTCTCCGTTCCACCCCTATATTGTGGATAAACCCAAAATTCGCACGGAGCGTTACGCTACTACATTTATATGGCATTTTACGGTATTGGAGTGGAATACTCTGCCTGCAGAATTGTTCCCTAAATGCTATTACTTAGGCCTTTTCAAGCCGAGAGTGAATGGGGATTATATGTGCATGATCCATCGTCGACCTCATTGTCACTTTCCACAAGTTGACATGAAGGTCAAATGCGCACTTCTTTAAACTACAGAAGAAACTATTTAGTATCTACGGCATACATTTAATGCAAATTGTAATGGCAGAACAGCCAATGAGTGTTTCAGCCGAGATGTGCAGCAGTGATTGCTTAAGATGCACTGCAGCAGCGGTGGCCCAGACCAGCCGTGGGCAGCGTGGTGAGTTCATCACCACGTGTGAGTAGATATGCCAGTGGAGTCAAAAAAGTCGTTAGCAGGTGCTAGTATCTTCTAACCTACTTGAATGTGGAGTCTAGATACTCGGAAGAGTGCTAGATTTTAAATCCTTTAGCTCAACTTCATTCAAATGATGTTTCATGAAATCATTTAAAAAATCAATGGCTAAACAAGACATCACACGTCATATACTTAATTCATGAGATTCTAGTATTTTACATCACATTTTGGTCGAGAAAGAACTAAATTTACAAATGCATTTTCGTGTTAATGAATTTTGCAGTCCAGATTAAATGAAAATAGGTGAAAATTTTGAGCGTTGAATAATTGAAATCGAAGTAAAAATTATGATTAATTTTCTCACTAAACATTTTACATTAGATATTTTCCTCTTACGGTCACAACTTCATAAATATATGGTCAGAACTGACGCAACTAGTAGTTGGCAAGGCAAAGCAACCGGGCGGACGCCTCCACTAGCGCAAAAACAATACGTCATTTTTAAAGCTTGTGGAGACCGCACATCCCCGAATATCTTGTTTGGCATCGGATTTTGAATCGTTATTTGATCTCATTACTATCTTAGTCGACTTGACACCATCAGAACGTCAACTGTGAATATTACGACACCTGATACGGTGTATCTTGTTTATATTATTTGATATCTACAGAACATGCATTGTTAGTCATTGTATAGACAATATCCAGAAATGTAGAATGTTACGGGAAATGACTTGATTGTAGAAAGACATTTAAACAGATTTTCAGATATAATGTGTTTTAATTAACATAACAAGAATAGCGTTGTTGTTTTTTCCTCATATCTTTGGCAAAGATCCTAGAGTTTCCAAAATGGTATGGAGTTTGAACATGTTTACTTACGTCTGTGAAAGTGACATTAAATGCTATTGTATTTTCCTTTGCCAATGACGCGCACTACTGTAGCTGGGTATCTTTTTTCTATGTTATTGTGTTGTTTAGATCATTTGTATTTCATGCATCATATGCTACACCACGTGAGGCCAACTCATTATCCGATAAATCGTCTAAATTAAAGACTACATTAATTGCATGTATTTACGAATAGTCTCGAAAATGATAGACTCTGTTACATTACCATACGCCATCATTCATTCAATCCCATTGTGATGAATTGTTGCTACGTTTTGTACGTCTTTAATTTGAATATCTTTATCATATCCACATTTATTGCCCAGCCCCTTGTTTCGTTTGCGTGATATTGAAATTAGAATCGATATTAAACGAAATACAGAACTGACAATAGCTGCTTTTGTAAACTTTATTACGGCCTCCGTATCGTATTGCCTTTGTTCGTGTCTTGTGGTTTCCTTTGTGAACCTTCTCGCCATAGCTTCGGTACATAGGAATTATGCTATTGTTCCTCGATAGCTCGGAGGCGATGACTTTTTAGTATTTACGTCACTAGAGTCGTGTTTGGCACTGTTCACGATATTCACATGATTGTTCTGAATAATTTTGTCCACAAATTTTCATAAACAGCATTGTTCATGGCAAAATATAGAATTCTATTTCAAATTTTCATACTCAAGTGCAAAGTTAATTGAACGTTGAAAGCTTTTAATTAACTTAGAATAAAACGGTGAGAACACCATTACTCCAATTCTAAATTCCAAAAATTCCGTTGCTCCTAATTAATTGGGCAGAAGGTCCTTCGGTCGGTCTTTGCATTGTTTGCTTGTTATTGTATAATGCCTTATATAATATGTCGTCAATGAAAGATAACATTTCGGTTACTCACGAACGTTGATAATTTGATGTTGTGGTTAAAACACGCGACATGATAAAGAATTTGCGATTGAGACTTCCTCCGAAATTTATTTATATTTATCGTGTACTGGAGTATATTTTATTTTTTACTTTATCTTTGTGTTTGGTCTAGTTATTTAATTACGTTACTCTACAATACTTAAAATAATTTATTATTTTTGCGATGTGGAGTTCCGGACTAATATTTATCTTTGATGTCTCGGTTACAAGACATAAATATATAAGATACAAGTTCTAACCGTACTAACGAACAAGTATACTCAAAATATTCCTCAAATAGTATTTTATTCGTACTGCCTAGTTGCTGTTATGTAACGATAAAGGCATTCAAAAGTTTCTGAACATTGTATTGTCTTTAATCAACTTATTGGATAATGCATGACCGGAATTTCAAACAAAAATCCGGTTTTATCTTGTGCATTTAGCCACGCCAGGATCGTCAAAATTCTTCGGTGAAAATGATACCATTTGTTGGTGGATAATAAATTATTATCAATTGAATCCACAACAACAAGGTTTATATTACGATAGACGTCACTGAAACGGTGTACACGGAATTCAATACAATGTCACGACCATAAAACTTTTATGCTTCGTGGCCTTGTAAGAAAGTCGTCATCGATCTTACCAAAATTCAATTACACAGTGCAATTTATCAGATCGAATTAAGGAATTAAGTCTTATCTGATTGCTTTTTGAGGAAAATGTTTTTGTAGACGATTGTTTTATTATACATGCTTCCTTATCTTTTCTGACTTGGTGTTTTCTAAAGAGCAAAACATGTTCATTATCGTTGGATAATTTATGGTACAGCAACATTGACGTCGCAATTCTAATCAAGTTCAAGATTAGGCATTATCATACCATGAGCTGTAGCTTGATATGTCTATTTTTGATGATTAAGTGTCATACGTTTTGTCATTTTACAGACAATTTAAGACTTGCTCATTTATCGGTAAATCATGTAAACAGTGTGGGTAAGCCCAGTGTATTCTTCATGGTGCAATATTATCTTGTGATAATAAAATGACGAAAATATAAAGGCTAATGTACAAAGGATTTGTAAGTTTGTATAACAATTTACGACAAATTTACTGCAGTGACTCGTATAAATTCTTGTTTCGTTCTGGCTGTTTTAGAGGCTCGTAAATCCAGGTCGGGCAGCTGACGGCCGTCATCAACATTTTTTTTTTATTTCGCATTGTCGTGGTTTTTTTCCGTATTTCTCACTATACGATTTTCTAAATGCAAATTAATAAACGCTAGGCATTCTAAGCGAGTTCACTGGCAAGCTGAAAATAAATCAAGATAATCATGGCCTCTTCTCTTGGTCGCGACGGCAAAATAATGTATTGAATTTAATTTAAATATACTCCCAAGGCACCAACCTTCGCTTCTGTCGCTCAAGTGTCACTCGTATGTCTTTTTTTAATTAGATAGATGAACTGAAAAACAAGTAACGCTTCAATTTAAAAAAAACAATTGACATATCGATACGGTATTTGAAAAATTAGCTTTACAAAATAGACAAAAATTAATGGACATAAATAAACATAGAGACAGAAGTGCAATTCGTTGAAAAATAAAATATTTACTCATTCTGAAATCCGGAACGATATGCCAACACTTGTTTGTGACGTTACAACTGTAATGGCGCTGTACAAGCTACATACTAATAATCTTTTCGCTAAAACAGGATAGAGCATCCCCCTGACTTGAAAAACATCTCATGTGGTAGTTGAAATATCGAAAAACGAAATTCGGATTCACTTTCAGAATAACAAAATTTGAATCAAATAAATTGGTTGTTTTTCATAGAATGGTTTTGTTGTCATTGTAAGATCAGAGTCGTCTACTTACAGCCACAAGCTTACAAGCCAAGACGATAAGGAAAAGGCTCTCTTCTAAAGGGTTTTACTTTGCGTTACGTTACGGAGTTCAAACAGGGCTGTCAAAGTCAAATAATCATTTATTCCATAGGTTAAATTTTTACACTTAAAAACGTAATTTTTTTTAAGCTACTGCTCGTTCACTGTGCTGACTTCCCAGAGAAAAACGAACACGAAATTCTAGGGATTGCCCTTTTCAAATAAATTGAAGTGCTTTGGAATAAATACACTTTGAATCATATTTGTGTGGAATGTAAACTCATGTCGTCTTTCCATACATCTTAATCTAACACGTACCTAGTTTTCAATTTTGTAATATAACTTTTCAATTAAAATACTTTTGATGTAAGTTTTAAACTTAGGAAATGATAATCTTAATATGTGTTCCGGAATGTTATCGCAAAATCGTATTACAGTCCCCCATAAAAGAATTGTGTACTTTAGTTAAACGAAATCGTGGTACCATGACTTTGGACTTAGTTCTAAGGTTAATATTGTCGATGTCTTCTTTCTAAATGAAATTATGTATATTTTTACGGCCATACAAAATATTGGAGTAAATTTACTGTGATGCCACAGTTATGATACCAGTCTCCTTAAACTTTTCTCTGAACGAAAAACGAGACCTAAACGGTACACAGAACGAATCGCTCGTTTTTGCAACACAAATATGGCTTGTATATCTGCCGCTTTACCCCACATGAGAATCCCGTAGGACATTATACTATGGAAGTTAGTAAAGTTATCTAGCAGTACCAACATCGGTAAGCTCAATGTATTCTGCGGACAGCGTATGCAGTGGAGCTTAACCTGCTGACCAAGGAAGATATATGTGGAAACCATTGAGTTTACTATTTAAGGTCACTCCCAAATAGTCCGCTTTATTAAGAAAGTCTAACTTTTCTCCATTTATTTCTATGACTGGACTACTCGATTTTATGTTAGTTAATTATAATTTAAAAAGCCGGCAACTTATAGGCATCATCACTAGTTTTGCTTATGTCCGTAGGCAAGGAAAACCGTTTCCCATCAAATAGCTCGTTTCCTCGTTTGCCTACTTAGTTACATACAAAAAAAACGATCTGATTCTGTAGGAGCAACACCAAATACAAAAAAAAACCCCAACAATGTCTATATTACTCGTAATTCACCATAATGACGATGACAATTAGATTTTTGTTTTTGGAAATACTGTTAAAATTGTATTATATATAATTTATGACCAAGTTGTTCCCTTCTTTACAAAATGTGCCCAGTCGATTTTACTACGTAATTTTTTTTTTTGCCCATTCCTTTGGATCATTTTGCCGCTACCCTGAGTGCGGAATCAGACCCGCGGCCTAGACGAGTTGCCCCCTAAGCTTTAACATTTAATGTATGACTAACACGAAACTTCCATTAGTGATGATAAGAATGTATAACATCTATCCCTTTCATGATATTAAATATCTTTAGGTAGAGATGGAACGGGCTTAGGATAGTAGAGCATGGAATAAAAAATGGTTGATTTTTCTGTGCAATCGTGCCTGGTGAAGTAAAATACTGTCACGTGAGCGTAGTTTCTTTACAAAAACAAGTCTACTATGAAATGAGGTTGACAGATAGACAGGCCGACGGATATGACGAATTCAAAAGTTTTGTTTTTGTCATTTGGTTGTGTTTGTATTTAATAACAACGTAATGTGTATGCGAGTTAATGTTCCTTGAAGATTTCGTGGCGCAAAATTGGCGTTTGCCACATTTTACAGTGGATGTCTAGCACATTAACAATGATTTGTATGTGATAATGTGCCCTGCGTCGCCCCAATCGAGCCCGCGTGCCGTCTCGTCGGTCGTCACGCGTCTCTGATATCAGGCAAAAATAGTCATTCAGCTTTTCAGCGCTAACTGGTTTTTGGCAAATATCCACACAATGAAAACGTGAGGTGATGATTAAGCCGCTAAGTGGTATAAAGTGTGATATTTGTAGAGGGTACACTTACGTAATTTGATAGCGGTTGATGGTCAACATTTGCCAAAACCTTTGTCGTTGGACGGACATGTTCTACGCTATCTTAAGTACGTTCTCTTAGAAATGAGATTTCGTCGTTAGAACCCTTGAGCGCCTTAAAAAAGTACCTAATGTAAAGTAGGTACTTTACATTAGGTACTTTTTTGATAAGGTTATCTTTGTAAATATTGTGCCAAAGACATAATAATTTTCTTAGATATGTAACCTATATATTTGATATTACGATATTACAGTGATACCATAATATCAAATCTAATCTATCTAAAGGAAAAAACGTTTTATTATACAAGTAAAACGTTTTTTCTTTAATTAGATTAGATTAAACATGCAAATTGGGACTTAGCAATTACTTACTACCTAGCTTACTAGCTAGCTTACTCTTTATCGACGAATATACAATATAGAATAATATTGTTGCTACACTGTACCAGTCTGCACAATCTTCATTATTTCTAAATTGGCCTCGTTTTTATTTTATTCTGATATTTTTCTGCACAATCTTCATTGTTTTCTAGGAAAGCCTCGATTTTACTTTGCTATGACATTTTTATTCAAATAGTATTTGTTTGAAGGGTAAAACCCACCAAGTCCTATTTTGATCAAACAGGAGATTTTTCCATTTTTGTTTCATTGCGAAGAACATTTAAGACAAGAAAAATTTAATAAGTGCGTAGTGTCCTTCATTATATATATAACTGCATTTCGAAAAAAGCCTGTACATACAATAACATTATAATTTCCTTTGCAGCTAAAACACAAAAATCTTGTGTCTTGTCTTTTCTTCTAAATAAATTATTATTCTTAAAATCTTAATTATCTCCAATAGTCGATTTGGCTTTCAAGTGAGTTTTGAAAACAAATAATACCTTCTGATTTGCCAACCCTTGATCTGATTACTCTGGATTAATTTTATATTTTCTTGAAACTTCGAAATTGTCTTCTCAACTTAGGAATCCTATTAAGTATATCATTGAAATACTTATCTGCGGTTTACATAGGAAATTAATGAGGTCAGACGAAAAGCGATTAAAGAGTTTCATGAAAAAATTGATCCTTTTTTTTGTCGACTTATCTATTTATCGACCTTCAAACTAGCTACTTTAAATCGCTTTAACTTTTGCCGTCTCTGTGGCTTGTAATGTTGGGGGGCGAATACTTCATTCAATACGTATTAAACCTTGATTAGTGTTACCGATTTGTGGTTTCTTGTGTATGACAATGACTCAGTAGTTGGCAGAATGTTAAATGTCAGTGTATGTATGCGATATCTTATTTTAGACACTACTGTAATAACTACAACTAGGTGCACGAATAAAGAAATCGATTATTTTACTGGGTATCAGATGTTTCACTGAATAGTCAAGATGTACAAATTGACCGCAATTCAGACAGTCTTTGTTCTGCTATGTATTTGAAATCCGATGTAAGTATGTAAAATAGTGTTTCATTTTTCCTACAAGGGATTACAAAATGGTTAAATATTTTTTTGGACATACAATAATTTTTCAGCTCTTATGGATACAATTGCAATATGTAATTGTATCCATAAGAGCAGTTACACACAGCAACTGTTAGCAGCGATGCAAACGCGATCCAGTAGCGATGCAGTCGCTGATCGTCTACACACGTGCGCGATTTTAAGCAGCGTTGCAAGCGCGCGACTACATCGATACAAATGCGTGATTGTATCGATGCAGTCACGCGTTTGCATCGCTGGTAAAAGTCACGTGTAACCATTCTAAGAGTTATACAATTAGTGACTTTTCTTTATTGTATTGTTGGCTGAATTACTTTTTTTTTATTAAAAAAAAATTATAAATAGAATACTTATTAATCTAAACATGGTGGTGCAACAAAATTTGTTAAAACTGTTCCATTCAGGGAGTCTACTGTCGTTTTCAAAGACAATGTGAATGCAGCTTCATTTGCATCGTCTTCTTTTAATTTGGTCAAGTATTCGGAACGAGACCGAGAACGAGAGGCTAAGTTTTACAAAACACAAATCAAAGTAACACACAAAAAAAGAGCAAAGAAAAACAAGGTGTTCCAACTTTTTTTGCAAATTCAACATTGAATTATATAGAAAATCACCCCATGAATTTGCAATCGTAAATTTTACGGCCATTATAGCTTAAACCTATTCTGAATCCACTGGAGCGAAATCTTCAATTTGCGTCCGAACCATCCATCTAACCGGTCCACTGCCCTTAGCTAAACCACGTGTGTTGGCATCATTTCAATTTTGTTTAAAGGTTATTGTTCTAGAACATTCGATTCAGTGGTACGAGTTTATATTAGGTATGTCCCAATTTGCGAATTTCGCTAACGTTTGTAATTGGAATATTTGCTCTATTTGTTATCTGACCTTGTCCTTTTACCTTATTTCTCTAGGGGAATTAAAAGCATTAAGAGTTACTGTGCATTAAAAGCATTAGCTAAGTAACAATGGTAGTAAATCGTAATATGTAAATCAACATAATTATGCGATTTCATTATCGTCATCGTCGCTAGAATCCCTAACACGCAATTTTAATCGTTAAAAATACTGTACAAAACACAAACTAGGATGATCCCTGTGACACTTCATTTGACGTTTGTCATAGGGGTAAGGTAAAGTGGATAGATTTTAGTGTATTTAATTTTTGAAGCAAAGGTTCTCTCTTATAGTTTTATTTTTATGATGTTTTATGAACAATGTCTATTCATTGTAGATGTGTGAACTGTTTTGTATTATTATATTGAAGGCATAAAACACACAAATAAAATTCAAATGCAATTTCAATTGATATTGTATTAAATATCAAAAAACATTTATCATCTTAATTTATAGGTTTCAAAACGGTAATAACATTAACATGTCAATTCATTGCCTATGATTAAAATTTATACTTTAAGAATGAATACACGCACTATACATACATTTATTCAATAATTATCAAAAACTTTATACCTCATCATGATATACCTCATCTGTAGCGAATACAGACTAATGAAGTAACCTTTGCACATTCCCGTGACACAGGGTTTCCCTAGTGCGGGGCTATGTTGAGTGTGTGCGTTATTTTTTTATTTTTATTGAGGTAATAAAATAATGACTTTATGAAAAAAAAAGTTTTTCCGTTCATTTCTCACAAATAAACATTGATTTAGTGTTACATTTACATTAATTTAATGTATTTACTTAAACAAAGACTATTCATTTAAAAGCGAAGCTAATAAAAATAGCTTATGAAATACGTAAATTAGTGCACGTTGGTACAAGGTTATATTGTGTAGATTTTTATGAACTGTCACAGGGATCATCCTATATTATTTTTAGTATAAGAAATAATAGTATTAGGTTCTTTGCATACTTATAGATCGTTAAAAACTGATTGTTTTCCTAATTTCAGCAACGAATCAATAACATCCCCAACATTTTCTTACAAATTCTATCTTGTTGTTACAGCTAGCCAGTTCCAGGAGAATCTCCTGAAGACGATGATTCAAATTGAGAATACTTTCTTCGAACTAGGTAGGACGTCCACGAGGAATTGCCTTATCATCTGTGATAGAGGAGCCATGGATGCCAGTGCATGTAAGTTTACTCTACCTACATTACAGTCTCCAAACAGTTATGCAAATTTCAAAATAGTATCCGCGACGGGTCTAAAACTTCTTTCCCGTCAATTTGTAACCGTCGGAGATGCCAAAAACCGGGTACTCATTACAGAGCTTTCCGCGTTCCCATTATGTCGTTACTATTTATTTATCGTTGACCGACTGTCGCGTCTTGCCTGTTCCCATATCACGACTAGCTGCCGTGACTATGTCGTGGACGTTTATTTTATAGCTGAACGACTGTTGTGTATAGCTGTTCCCGCTACATCGTGACGACAATTTATTGGTTCACGGCAGCCACCTTGTCGTTTACACGACATAATCGTTTGAAGCTGCGATTATCTGTCGTCACATTTTTGTCGTGACGTTTTAATTATCGTCAGACGATTATCGTTCTAGCTGTTCCCATTTTCCCATTGTCACGGCAGACTGTCGTCGTAACGTCAAAAAAGTCGTGAACGACAGATAACCGTGTTGTTCTGTGTGAACAACTTCATTTAAATATACAAGCTACGACGCTTTAAACTGCATAATTATCTGTCGTCATGACATAATGGGGACGCGGCCTTAGCGTCTGATTAAAGACTGTTTCAATCGTACACACTAGAACTTCGTTACTGTATCTGTCACGGTTACGGTTACAGCTCGCTAGTGAGTACACGGCTTAAAAGACACACATACACGCACGCACGCACGCACGCGCGCACACACACACACACACACACACACATGTATATAATAAAATGGTGTTTTTTTTTTAATATACCCTTTTTTATAGATGGTCCCCTTTCATTGAATATGACTGAATAAAAATCGTCTTAACGGTCTCTGTAAGACCCGCAAACGCAAATGTTAGGTCTACGTATGTACATACAGTTGCATCGCGAATAACATGCGTTAATAACACTGAAAGTGTTGAATCAATCAATCACTTTCGAAAAAATACATAGTTAAATTAATATACACTGATTAATACACGGTGTGAAAACGCGATTTCTAAAAATTTTTACAACAGAAAATAAAAACACAAAGTTGGAATTCAACCCGATCGAAGTAATTTTTTTCTAAGTATTCGATATTTGTTTAATAATTATAAAACTAGTGGAGTAATTTCACAAAAAAAAAATTATTGCATTATGATGGTAAAATATCCTGACATTCAATAAAAGTTAATCACAAAGAAAGTTGGCAATCACCCACGCGTACACGTTTCATTTAACAATATTATTTTGATGCAAAATGATTTACAAATCGAATATTTCATGTAATAATGTAGACAAACATAGACCCACCGAAAAGCTTTTATTGATTGGAACGCGCTTTTGATACTATGTAATATTTGGTTGTGTAAACAAATTTCCCCGTGACCATTTTAACCAATACAGCAGCAGGACCGTCACGGCTCATTCAATCCTATATTTATTACTATTTCAAGACCCCAAAAGCACCCAAAAACCGATGTTTCTCGAGTTACTAAATAGGATGTTACGCATGACTCTCCGTCATCAATCAGTAATCCTATCTATTCCTACGGCTTCTTAATGGGCGATCCTCACTTAGTGCCAAAGACTACATTCCTTAATCATGTCGATCATTTGTTACAATAAACATATAGGTACTAGAAGTCGACAATGTTATGATTATACATACATAATTACATATGTATATCCTGGTTAGACACGCTCATTAAAAAGTAGACTCTTGTGCTTACACAAGAGTCTACTTTTTAGTAGGCTGGTATATACAATTATATACGTACATAAAATTTCTCATATCACTTCGTATGTCAGTAATGGACGTTAGTTGTAATTTGACAATGATTTATTCATTGATGTAAATAAATAATTGGAATCGACGTCGAACAAAATTCTGAATTTAACTACCAAAGTATATATATTTTTCAATCAATATTATCCGTTAAATATACTCATGGACGTATTTATGGAACGTTAATAAAAAGTTGAATTATGATAACGACATTTATATGGCCCATTTACTGGCCACATATTCTAGAACGTTTTATCGAAATGAAGAGACAGTTGTATGTGCTGGTATAGGTATGTGATCAGTGGTTCATATGGACATTGTTATCATAATTCAATCTATTTTTAGCGTTCCTCTGAATATGTCCATGAGCGTATGTGTTTCCAGGTAAAGTGGTGACAATATATCAATGCATGCGGGGGACTTTACCTAAGAACAATTTTACGTCATAAAAAATACCTAACTGTTTTATTATTAATAACAAGACTATCGTTTGTTTTTTTCCTATTGTTTATTTTCCGTTTTCCTTTGATGAGGAAAACGTAATTTCACGAATACCAAATACAGGAAGAACGAAGAGTTAAAAGACATCTTCGTTGTCAAAACAAAATTTTGGCCTAACGGCGATTGTGCTATATTAATATTATTTATACATTTCAGTTATACCAAAAGAGGAATGGGAGGCTATAATGGGAAAAAGCAACTGGAATAGCGTCGAATTGCGGGATAACAGATATAATCAAATTGTCCATATGGTGTCTGCTGCAAATGGCGCTGAAGATTTCTATTCCACAGAGGTGAGTAACGGTACCTTGTCTACCATCAAGACATTATATTTAGAAGTTTTTGAAAGAGCTCGTCCAGGGAAGTACTGCCAACTTACCTATTTCTACCGCCATGCAGTAATGTAAGCGTTACTACGTTTTGGTTTTGGAGGGTAAGAGTACTGGTGAAATTACCCGTCACTTGGTACCATAAAAAATAAACATTTACTTCAACATCAAAAGTGCACTTCATATCGCATAGTGATCTAAACGCTTAGAGGGCTGCGTACTTAGCCATTGGACATACTTTACGAGTTGATACCTAATGGACTTTGCTTCTATCTCCAGACTAAATAATATGATTTTATATCCATTGTGTATATAATAACAGTCGAAACATCATTAATCAGGATCGTGATAATGACGTTGTCTTTCAAATTCATGTTGCAATTCCAATCCTATTCCGAAAATACTCACTGTATATATACTTTAAAATAAATAACAGTAAAATATTTTTTTATGAAATTAGGTCGTTTTTAAAATATTATTCGAATAGACACTGACAATAGTAAAAATATTTTATGAACGACAGAAATATCAATCATTTAGTAATAGAAGACTATTACTATATAATTTGAATTAATGATTCATTTTCTTAGGAAATGAAAATAGACCACTGCGTACATAAGTATGATTCAAAACCTTCTGAGACCCTACGAAAGTAAGCGCTCGAGTGTCGAGCACGTATTCTCACACCCATCCTCGTGAGGTAACGACAGACGCGCGCCGGTGCTACTACTGATTCCACTCGACTTGGTGGTTGTTTGGATTTTTTTTTATAAAAAAAAAACAAAATATACAGTAAAAACTTACAAGCAAACCACTTATTCTGGCGAAAGTTATTCAGAGACCTATTTATAGAAGCGTACAGACTCGTATTCCAAAGTATTATTGTACCTTATTCCATTGCACCCTGTATAAATTGTTCCAGACATTGTTAAAAAGGGTAGGAGTGTCATTAATCCAACAAGTACACAACAATTAACACTTAACAAATAAGCGTCTTTATTGTACGAGCAACAATAACATACACAACCATAATAATATGAATGAGTTGCCTTTTATCTACCAACGTGAACGCTTCATTAAGAGAGCCTTATTTACCTATCACGTGGAATTACACATGTCTTAGATTGCAGTTATAGTGAAAACATGCATGAAGCTGTGTTTACATTATACAGATAAACTTGTGCGTAAGTTATGCGCAATTTAAATTTTTTGATCAAACGCTTTAATTAAAAAGTAAACTTTTTATTTTCATAAATGACTAATGAATAAATTTTTAATTACTAGTGTAATCTAAATGTATTTTGCGATTTTCGTAACGAAAGTGTCAGTACTAATTGCACAAGTCAATAAAAATCTCATGCTTTTATAAACAAGTTAACGAAATGACAAAAACTTTTTAGTTTAAAAAGAAAAAGAATACAAATAAAATATCATTTGAAGAATGTATCGAATATAAAATTTTAAAGATTTTTTAATTTAAGATAAAGGCTGTAGATAGATAGACTTTACGAATATTGTAGACTCTTTGACCTTATAGTATTTACTTTGCTATTATAGTACTTTTACTTCAGACTGTTACTTCAGACATTAATTAATGTCCGTGTGGTCAAAGAGTCTACAATATTCGTAAGAATACTAGAATGTCTGAAGTAAATACTATAATAGCAATAACATTTCCCAGTAGGGAAAGAACTAAAATAATATTTTAAAAAATCAACCTAATACAATTACTAATAAATTTACTCAATAATTGATGCATTTGATACTTTAATTATACTTTATATCGTCAGATACATTAATACTTTGTCAACTGTGCCTTACAATGTATATACTATCAACTGTATCTCTATTAAGCGTGATAATGATAAATTGCGCTCTCATTGTTACATAATGTCTTGACGCGTATTGAGAAAGGAAGTTTTATACTCATTTGTAATAAGATTTCTTATTTCCTTTTGACCCGTCACGCACACGCAAACGCAAACGCACGCACGCACGCACGCACGCACGCGAAATTACAGGCACCTGGGGCTTGTCAACTTATGTACTGTACTTGTAAACCTTTGCAACGTAAAGCTCTGAGTGGCGTAACTGCTACGGATAGGTGTATCGTTTACTACCAGACGTTTGTTCGTTGTCACTTGGTATCTCAAATATAAAGATATATCAGCCTACCTTACCGCTCTTTGACGTACAAGAAATAAAATTTAATTATTATTTGTGTACTACCAAATTATAAATTGATTCAGCATATTCGAAAAGTTCTTTGATGCTATAGAAACAATTTTACAGAAGCCTCTATCCTCGACTTTGCTTTAAATAATAATGAAATTAAATAAATGACAATATTAAAGACAAGCTCGGTGACGCAACGGTTTGCACTATTAACGCTGAATGAGGTGATCCCGGGTTCGATTCCCGGTAAGACCAATTTGGGGAAATGAACTAAATTGGTTTTGACCTGGTTTACTCTGGTACTCATTGTACAGGGAATTCCTTAGATTGAGATTGGGTAATTGATGTGATTTGTCTGGCACGTTATTATAGTTATTAAAAACACGTTAGTTTATATAACGTTCCTGGAAAACTCTGATAATCCAATTTGATTAATGAACTAATTGCACGAAAAATACGTGACGAATATAAGTCCCGTACACGTGAGCAACTTTTTGTGTCAAATCGACTGCATGAATTTGCAATAACACAATAATTTGCATACGTGAAATTTTCCGATCGCTAGTTATTTCTTGCTTATAGTATATCTCTAATAGTATCTAGAATTGTCGCTTTATCAAAATGGAATACGAACGAGATTAAAAACCAGGCAGAGAAGCTGTGAGAGTGAAACAGTGTACATTTATACTCAGTATCTGCATATTAGTATCCATAGACAAAGATATGGATATCGACAAGAAGTTATCCGGTTTAAATAAAGCACATACATTATGTACATACAATACTTAGGCCATACTGAAGGTGTCTCGATTCTGATAAGTAAGACCAGATATTATATTTATAATAGATTTATTGTTTTTCAAAGTATATCACACACTTTTGCATTCCGTGCATGCAGCCCTCACTATTCACATACTTTTGCATTTCTTGGAACCATTGTGAAAAGCAGTATGACAAGTCTGCCGTAGGGACCTCTTCAATGGCTGCGTGGAATGCATTCATCTCCGATTCCGGGCTTGTAAATTGTAAACCTTCAAGTTTATCTTTGATTTTTGGAGATAAAAAGAAGTAGTATGGTGCAAGGTCCAGGCTGTATGGCGGATGGGTCATCAGCTCCACATTTAAGGCCTACAAGTACGAATTCGTTACCTTAGCGTAATGTGCAGACGCGTCGTCGTGGTGAAGGACGATATTGCTTCTAAGAAGCTTTTCGCGAACTTTTTCTAACACTGGGCAAGCAGGCGTTTACTCGCTTAATCACTGAGTTTAGGCGTTTAATCACTGACCTTTGGGTGTACTACGCGAGTGCGAAGACGGTTGCGCGAAAGCTTAAATGCGCGATAGTTCATTTGCGCGAGAGTTTGAATGCGCGATACTTCATTTGCGCGAATGACGATAGCACGAAGACAGATTTGGCTCCCATGGCTGCAGGTTGTTGCAATTCTTTGCAATGCAAAGCTTTCATAATAAACTATACGTTTATTTTTGTAAAACTTTATTAGGGTGTACTTGCAACAATTAACTTGCCTTCCAGCTTTCGCAAATCTGTCTTCGTGCTATTGCCCTTCGCGCAAATGAACTTTTACTTTTTTGTTTTACCTTTGACAATTAGCGCGATACCAAATGTGCGCAACGTGTCACATTTGTAACGTTTCTTATCTGTTTGGCTTTGGTTTTTGTTTTGACAGTTAGCGCGATACGAAATATATGCAACGTGTCACATTGGCGACGTTTCTGGTTTTGGTTTTACCGTTGACAATTAGCGTGATTGGCCCCCAGTACTTAGCGACTGACAGCATTATCAGTGGCGTTGTACATGTCCTCGCGTGTGAAAATGTAGGGACACGCATGCCACGACAATACATGTGCGAGACACCACATCATATGCACTATTATGACCCCACCTGTACATGCTCTCCAAGCTTAGGCGGACTTGGGTCTGCTACCTATTTCGTTACCTGCAATGAACAATCCGCCAACTTTATTTTTTGGTCAATTTCTGTTTTTTTTTTTTGTAAACAGCCATATTTATTTACTAATATTAAGCAGAAACAAAAACCAAAATTCGAAAAAAAAAAACAAAAAAACGAGTAGTCTGAAAAAAAATAAGAAACCAAAAACGAAATAAAAACAGAAAAGTGATCTTGATGAATCGAATTGTTACAGTTTATTTTTACTTCAAGGTGCACGAGTTTATTAATCTATTCGTCACCAGCGCATGACTTTTTATCGGCTAAGATTTTTTTTTTGGTCATATTTTTATCGTTATTGATTCGAACATCGAACTTTAACATTACGAATAATGTCAAAAAGATGACAAATAAACGCTTAGAGAGTTACGCAAAAGTACACACACCATCTCGACGCCGACGGTCTCCTAAAGGTGTATACCCTTCGGTGCAATCGGTTTCTTTCCCAATCGGTCCACTATCACTATTCGTCTACTTTCCCGATCCGTCCACTTGTCCAAAGGGGTTTTTAGGTCCACCGAACCTAGACTACTTGAATGCTCAAATTGCATTTTCACTCCCAGGGAATAAAAATTTAGTTTCCTTTAGCAATCAACGGTAAAATTCTTAAAACAAATATTTATGTTACCTTGCGAATTTAAATCTAAAAAATAAATAAAACAATGTTTGTATGTTTTTCATTTATTGCAATCATGTGGTAGATATAGTGTACATTTAAACATTTCCAGTACCTAAACATGAAACCTGGTAGGGACTAGAAATTTTTACCGTAACGTAATAAAACCGTAAGTGTTACTGGAACATAATAAATATTCATATTATCATAAAATGTTCTAAACACAAAATCTAATATA